GTATACCTAATGACTCGATATATTAAACGCATATTTAATCAAATCATGCATATAGATATATAATTTTCTCCTATGATTTATTACTCTTTTGTTCAAATCAATCAAAAATAATCGTTTGAACTTAATTGGTATTGGAATTGATTATGCAGAAAATAACGCGTAGTTCCAGCATAGTATGAGCTACCACTTTCTTTGCCGTGGATGTCGTAAGAGCCGACTAAGGGAACTTAAATGTTGAGGGATGTTCAACAGCGTCTCTTTTAAAACATAACCACAGCTTAACTGCACTTGCTAACCCGCCTGCCAAGCATGGCAACTACTGGAAATACCACCCCAATAGAAACACAACTAATTTCAATTACAAGTAGGTAATGAATAATTTAATGGTTATTAAAATATGGATATATTTTTTTGCAATTTTTTTTACTTTAATGTTATTATCGTATTAATTTCTTTGAAACACTAGATTTGTCTTAAGGATGAAGATCTCTGCTGATATGACAGATACTTCGAGTCTTTGAAGAATTTATGGCATGTGTATGAAAAACTCACTAACAAAGAGAGTAGCTATTTAATATAATATTAAACCGAAAAGCAGATTAATTCTCAATACTTTAACTGATATCATATCATCGATATTCCTAGTTCTAGTTATATATACATGACGGTAGTATGAAGTAATGTAGTGTAGTGTAATAATGTAGTGAAGTAAACATGGCAGCCATGAATTAAACATTTAATAATATTCAACAATCAGATTTTCTGAGAGTGTTTCTGTCATATGTTTATATATTTAATTACCTATACTATATCATATACAGCATAACCTAGCGAGTCATCCCCATTTTCACTGCGTAATATGCTAAGTCATTTATTAATGGAACTCCATAGATGAAACAAAAGACAGGCGACGAAGCTAGGACAATTTATCATTCAATAAGACAGCGGTGTATTGAAGCATGCTTCAGTTGCAGCCGACTTAACACAATTGAGTTCGTTATTCCAGCGCATTGTTCGAGCAATAGAGACTTACGGCGATCCGCAATCAGAAGCAGATTTGCAGAGTTCATAGACATACAGACATACCATAAATGTAATGAGTAATTTCTAATTCATCGATAATTTAAAAATATATCTTAATTTGTGAAATTGTATCGAAATGACTAAATTAATTTAGAATCCCATTATGAGCAAAAAAAACCAAATCAATCTATTCAAACTTTTACCTATTAGTGTGTAGGATACATTCCAATTCACAGAAAAAAATGATGCTAATTTTGCACTTTTATTATTTTACATAGCATGGTATGACACATACCATCGTGATATAATAGGCTAAAAAAAGCATGTATATAAATATATAAAGATGCTTTAATTTTTCTTTGACGTTATCTTCACGCCTTACACGTTTACGAGATTGTCGCGGAAAATGAAAAGCGTCCTCGTGTAATTGCATACATTTTAATCCTCTATTATATGATGATAAAAACAAACCGTGCCGCTCTATTGTAAATAATAAAAGTGCCAATAAGGATTATATACATGTATTTAAATGGATAAAAAGACGTATTACGGTCACTGTTTTATTTATTCTGTAATAATTGGAGTTCTATTGCATGTGAAAACGATATTGCAATGCAAAGTAATTTAATTGCTACACTGAAATATTAGTACATTATAGTACGTCTATAAAAATAATACACCGTCATTAATGTGACTTCTGTGCTATGTCAATTTTGTCCATTCGTATGGAAGTGACACCCTCTAATGTCAAAAATATCTAGGCTGCCTCTGACGTGCTGTCCCAAATACTAAGCTAATAATAATCTATTTTCAATTATCCAAACATAGGTTAGGTGGTAGAGAATACCATGTGGGATTAGTCTCGCCACTTGTACATAATTTTATTAAGCAATAAAGTATAAATAAATGTGTAAATAAGTAATGGTGTAAATAATTGAAAATATTCCGAGATTAGGTTGGAATTCAATCTCGGAATTTCTGGATGACAATCTAGAATTATCTGACCATTGGCACAGCTGAGCCTTGTATATACGCTTTTGCTATATATCGATACGTTTAAAAAATATCGCTTCATCCGATGCACTCTCAGCTGTTTGTTCTTATTTTCAATTTCATGTAAAGCGATTCTATAAATTTTAAAATCGCTGCACAGACAGGAAGTCAGATCGAAATCGTGGCGGTTGGGAGGAAATTGCTCATTCTCACGCGAGCGACCGCCCGCGCCCGACGACCCACCCAGGGAATCCACCCTAATGGAAAAAGTTAAAAAAATATACAAAACTTTTTTATTACGAACGCCACGTCGAACTTGCGTAGATGTAGTGGGCGATGGGATATTGCTAGCGTCGAAGTGTTGATTAAACTTAGGTGAACTAATTACCTACACTTCTAAAATCCTACTATTTTTTAACACGTTATCTACTTATAAAAATAGATATGCATACTCGTATATTACTAGGTACCATACAAGGCTCTCTTCATGACGACTGATATGGGCGTTACTACGTTTAGTGACAGAAATAGTAAAAATATTGTACAATTCAACACACACACATCAACAGTAACCAGGGTCTGATGATATTTACAAAAATAATTAAATATTTTAGATGTTATAAATAAATAATGCTATTATAAATTTGTAGACTTTGTCTATGAATAAATAATTTGGTCATTTGATATGCCACATAAAGCTGATATCACAGAAATATGATTTTCATTTATATTTTTTTAATACCTAAGCGTAACTTCGAGTCTATGTCTTAACAATAAATTTCATTTTTGTTTTGTACAAAATATAAAATAAAGTATGAATTTAATGATCTGATCATCTTATGATAGGATGTAAATAAAATCCTATGAATAATTTTCCTGTTATATATATATATATATATATATATATATATATATATATATATATATATATATATATATATATATATATATATATATATATATATCTTCAAATCTACTTTAATGACTCATCTTTTCCACACAAGCTAGTCCTAGACTCATAATTAATCTTTCACACAGAATACAGCGATTTATCTAATCGTGATTAGACATTAATATGTTTTTTTTTCCTAATAATCTTATCTTTTTTTTATTTTTAATCTTCTTAATATTATAGTATTTATAAATGTAGTCTCATATATATGTATTCTTATCGCCTATAGACATGAGCAGTACCATGGACATAACAGAGTATACTGTTTCGCCCATGATACTCCCTATGTGTTGCCATTCCTGAGGACTCAGAAGTTATTCCTCTGTACTCTGTAAATTCACGCCATATCCCACCCTTCAAACCGAAACACAGCCATGCAAACACAACTGCTTCACGGTAGAAACACGAATGGAACAGAGGTACCCAAGCAATCGACTTTTGTACAGTCTCCCTCTGGTAAATAAATAAATAAATTATAAACATATAACTTACACTCTTTGTTAATAAATACCTAAAATGTGTTAGGTTGACTGGAAGAAATCACTAACATTGTTATTAACTTCTTGTTGTTACTGTATGTTTTAGTGCAATAAAGAATATATACATATATAAAAGCGACTTCTAAACAAGAGGTGGTTTTCTATTCGGTCGTATTTTTTTTTTACCTCAGAATTACGTTATTTTTAAACCAGTATTTTAAATATTTATTTTTTATCTGAAAGGATAAATTAGTTTATTTCGGATTGGTTCAAATTATTTCTAAATCTGTAATTAGAGCCGTGAAGAATAAGTTCTAATAATCAAATATACGGATAATCGATGTTCGGTTAAACGAGTTTCTACTATATTTCAAACGTTCTATTATAACTTTAATTTTAATTTCTGCATCCATTGTTCATTCTGTATTCAGTGTTCATTGTAGGTTCGTGTTTAACGCGGTCGAGAATCAGTCATATCAAAATGTGGTGAGTGAATTAATTTCGAATTTACGAACGGTTTCAAAGAGGAAATTATGTATTCGTCTGTTTCCTTGAGTGCGTATCTGATACGATGTAGATGATTCTTTTTTCTCAACTGACTTCAAAAAGAAGGATGTTCTCAGATACATTGCTTTTTTAGTCGAAAATGTTGAAAAAGAGTTCAGTCACTAATAAAATTAATAAGTGATTAACATAGTGTATGTTAATCACATAATAATTTTATCAATTATTGATTGCATTATTTTATATTATTTTTTAAATTAACACTCACATCAGGCTGTTCATTCCTGAGAGTGAAAACTCATTCGTAGTTACTTCCGCAACGAACAATTTTGCACAATGTAGGCTATATCCTGCATTTAGTTCAATTCACTCTCATGTATGTCAATATTATGTTATCACAAGGTAACTTTGTACAAATATCTCTGTCCCATTCATGTTTTTGCCTTAAAATAACTCTGTATTAGCATGGCTGTTTTTTTGTTTAAAGAGCGTAACACCATATTGCTTAAAAATGGTAACAATTGGCGTCACAATGTATTTTGTGATGTCTATGATACTGACATTATTTATAAGCGCCGGTTACTACCTTGCATCAGGTAAGTCGTCAATTAGTTTTCCATTCTAAATTACATTAAAAAAATACAGATGAGTTTATCCAGTCATATGTATATGTTTGACCAATCGCACCCAGTTATCAGTCTTTTTAAACAACTCTTGATAATAAGGAAGTTTAACTGTAGAGTTAACGTAATACTTTGGAAAGGAATATTTACTATTTACTAATCTATTTTAAAGTGTTTGTTTTCTATTAAAGAAACATTAGGGTATTACCATTTGTATGCCAATATAATTAATATAGGGAAGGCTGTACTATAAGCAATAGTCTTCTTGTTAATTACGTGTATTGACGCTGTATTCTTAGTTAAAAATACTTTTTTAGAATAATATTAATACACAAAAATGTACTTCCTGTTGCGATTCAATATAAGTAAAAATACACAAGTTCCAGCTATACTACGTGTGTTATCGTTTTATTGATTTTGCGATAAGTATAGATAAGGCAATAGCCTCTATGAGTTGCGGCAAACTAATTTATGTTAGATAGTCATATTGTTTCATGTTCAACGCGGTCGTGAATCAGTGTATTGAACATATGTGTCATTTCTAATATTCTTTGTGATAAAATAAAATATCAAAATGTGGTGAGTGAAACAATATTAAATTTACAAACGGTTTCAAAGAGGAAATTATGAATTCGACCGTTTCTTGAGTGCGTATCTGATACGATCTAGATAATTCTTTTTTCTCAGCCGACTTCATAAAGAAGGATGGTCTCGGTTATATTTCTTTTTTAGTCCAAAGTATTGATAGAAACAAAATTGATAAACAATTAACATAGTGTATTTTGATCACGTAAATATTCTATCAATTATTCGTTTCATTGATTTTTATTATTATTATCTACATATATTTATTTTTAAAATGTAATTTTTTCAATTTAATTCAATTATTTTGTTTAGCAAAATAATTTATTATTAATAACATAACACTAATCTTCCACCTTATCTTTATTAATTTCTAATCATTGTACAATTAAATTTACGGAAAAGAATTCATAAACTTCCTTTCCTTATTCCAATAATATAGAGTCGGCAACGGCGAGGGGGGGGGATGCGAGCAGAGCTTTTAACTATGCGCAAAGACAAGTCTGAGTATATAATATGCCTTGTTTAAGAGGCCAGGCTCCCTTTAGTAAATAACTTTAAATACTCTTGTGTTAAAACGACAAAATCGATCAGGCATTTTTATAACACTTTTTTGTGAAAGAATACTAGTGTTTTTCTAATAATACCAATACGCATTCTTTGTCATTAGGTATATGAGATAAAAAATAAAAAACGAACTTTTAAAGATCCTTCTTTGATGAGTCAAATCTGTTTATAAAACTTCTGACTACAAGGTATGTTAAAATAAAAAGAAATAAAAAAAACTCACTCGCATACCACATTAATTTAATAAAACTTTTACATTTCTTTTTTGCAGTCGTATATAAAAAGAGGGCCAAATATAGGCCTTTGAGATATACACCTATTTGATCAGAGATCCATTAGACTTGTGCATTTTATACAGACTTTTTGATCTAATATTTCTTCATACATAAATTACCCGGATTCAATTTACAAATGTGAACTGTATAATTTTAACACAAGTAGTACTATATAATAAATTTGACAGTAAAAAAGATATAGATTGGATGCATAAAAATAACCTAAAAGCAAATGTTAACAAGACTAAAATTATACAATTTGAAACATATCGCACAACTAAATTAAATTTAAATATTAACTATGATGGACAAATAATGTAGACCGTAGAATCTACCAAATTCTTAGGTATAATGACTGATGAAAATTGTAATTGGAAACTACATGTAACAAATGTCAGTGATAAACTTAGCAGATTTGCTTATGCTTTGCGACGCCTCCTTGAAATATCTCCCATCGATTATGCATTACTTGCTTACCATGCACATGTTGCATCAGTCATACAGTATGGCTTAATACTATGGGCAAACTGTACAGATATTGATAGAGTGTTTAAAGCACAAAAGAAATACGATCTGTATTTGATGCTGATTTCCTGGAATCCTGTCGTCCATTATTTATAAAAAAAAAAACAATATTCTAACTGTAGCATGTATGTATATAAAACAATTTTGTATTTTTGTTAAAGAACATCCAAAATACTTTCCACTGAAACAGACAACTACATTAAAATCATTACCCAACAGACCCCTAAATAAAATATAATTACCCACAATAAAATTAACGTTGACGCAAAAAAGTCCATATAATATGCCGGTGAGAATTTTTAATAATCTTCCAGATAATGTAAGAACCCTCTCTGGAGTGACATTTAAAAAAAAATTGCATGAATGGCTAGTTGAATCGTATTTTTACTCTGTTAGGGGTTTTATGTCGGATTGAAAGGGTGGAGATTTGTACGTATTATCGTTATATTTAATACATGTCCTGCTTATTGACTTCTTTATTTTTATTAGTACATCTCATTTTTATTGTTGACCATGTGGTATCCAATTGTTATTTATTTTTACTATTTAAACTAATCGACTGAATAAATTAAATTGTATTACATTCCTTAATATTTTAATTAATGTTATTTTATTATTATATAATTTCGTAATGTTTAAATGCTACAAAAAATTTTAAAATTTAATTATTGTAATTTTTGTTTTCAGAGATATAAGAAACATTACACAGAAACCTTTTATAAAATATTTAGAATGCCAAAATAAGCAGATGTCCTATTTAATAGAAAGCAATAACCGTAGCATACGAGTATAGACGTGAACAGCGCCAAGGATAACACAAAATACACTATAAAATCCATAGTAACCTTCATGTGTTGCCATTCTTGAAACTATGGTATTATGCCTCCGTACTCTTTAATTTCACTGCTACAAGCCACCTTTCTAATCGAAACACTGCCATGCAAACAAAACTGTTTTACCTGCTTTACAGCAAAAACATTGATGAAACAGGGATATCCATGCAAACAATTTTTTATAAAGTTTTTCTCTGGTGTTTCCCTGCCCTCTGTATATGTATACTTTGTTTCAGTTGCGTGTGTGATTTGCTGTGCAAGATCATCAGTTGTGTGTCCACAATAATAGTAATTGGAGCTATAATTCTTCTTATACTATGGGTTTATAAAGTATTTGACAAGTCTGATAATGGTAAGTTACCTATTTTATTTTACTGAAATAGATATTATATTGAATGTCACTAGTTAATTATTAGGACTTTGTGTAATTCTGCTACCACTAGTATACATGCGACTGCTAATATTTAATGATTGACTACTATTATTATTATTTAAAGTTTTACGATATTCCATATTAGTAATCAATATACGACCGTTATTTCGTCTAGGCAAATTTGGCCACACTTGTTTTACCTCTTAACGAGGTAACTTCAGGAAAATTAATAAATCCCTGCTCGGAGCCTAGTGTTGACCGTTCGGCTCCTAAACCGCAAATGATTCATTATTGGCCGTGTCGTAGAACTTAAAGTGTAATAATAATCATCGTCATTATTATATCAACCTTTAACTGTTCACTGCTGGACATAAGCCTTTCCCTTGGGGAGATTTGCCAGTAATTGCCACACTTGGCAGGCGGATTAGCAACCGCAGTTAGGCTTTAGAGATGTTTTAAGAAGGACGCTGCTGCCCATCCCTCACCCTCTCTTAGTCGCCTCTTACGACACCCACGGGAAAAGATGAGGAGGCCTATTCTATGCCGGGACTATACAGCCAATATCCGAGACCATACGGCTAGTATATATAATTATAATAGTACTCAATCTTTAAATGTTGGTGGTTCCCACACGTTCAAGTATAGAGAAATGAAGCAATGGTAAAAACAACAAAAAAGAATTAGTCTAATAGGTGCAGCAATTCTGAAGTTTTACGCTTACATACAATTGATTTTAAAAAAAGTTAGTAGTGGATAATATAAAATAACAAAACAAATTCAATGTACTTCCAGATACCAACTCCAATGAGCAGCTTTTGCAGCGGGCTATCCGGTCACCTAAATTTGCATGGCAGATGTGAATTAGATTACTTACTTATTTATAATAAACTCATTAATATAATATTTACAGTACTCGATTATCCGGACATAAGTTATAATGGATTCTCGATTATCCGGATCGTCCATCACAATCTAATAACTTTGTAGAAAATATGTAGGTATATTCGTAAGTACAAAAATGTACCTCTAATCTCTTAATAAACATTTTTTTAATAGTTTCAAATAAAAACATGTACATAGAGGTAAGTTATCTTTCTAAAATTATGAATATGTATAAAAATCACTTGTCTTCGTATAATTAATTATCCGGATTTTCGCATCTTGTCACGTCAGAAATCAGTCCAGTTAGTCCAGTATTTGAAAATATTTTATATTTGAGAATCATAAAATAATATACATATTTAGATACAATTTTCTAATAGCTCAATCGTGTAACTAGAAAAGCACTCCGCACGCATTGCTGAGAAAGTGAATTCGAATCCTGTCGAATCGAGCTATCGTCATATTTATTTATTTAATCTAATTCATGTATTACCTATATGTAAATATTATTTAAAAAAAATGTATTTTATTATACTCTAAATAAACCTCGTCTTTGTAATTTTTTGACACAAAATCTTATATGTAATCAATAAAGTACAATACAAAAGTTTACAATTAGTATCAAATCTGTAATTTTAAATAAAGAACATATCGTATTCTATTTTCTGTGAATGTATCAAGGAGACTTATGTTATGAATTTATGAATTTTCATTAATAATTTTGTAATACACAATGTTACCAATATTTAATTTAATTATCAAAATACGAAAGTTATTCATAAACGTAATTTATTGTAACGCAAAATATTGTTTTCATAAATTACATCATTGATTAACAATATTTTTGAGGTATATAAATACATAGGTATTATTTACTTAATAATATATAAAGAGCACCAAAGAGAAGAAATAAAATTAATTATAAACTTTGTATATTTTGTCATGACATGAAGTGTTGGCATTGTATAGAATCAATTGTTTTGAAAGCTTTATTAAAGGTGAATCATCAATGTCGATTCAAGATTTCACGTAACAAGCTTAAATACAATAATTCCTTCTTTTTTGAGTCAATAGAAAATATTTCAATGAAAGATTATTCATTGAACTATTTTTATTTATCTTTATTTTAATCTATCATTGCATTACTTATTCAATATGTAAGTATCTATTTTGATACTTCTTTTAATTGAATAATGTACTTATGAATAAATAGCTTATATGAATTAATTAGTATTAAAAATATTGTAATTATTAAATACTGTAACACATTCTGTATATATATATAATATTTATTTTAGAAGCAAAAATCGCATGACAACAATTTTGTATGACATTAAACAACATCTTCAGAAACAATTATAGCCTCTTTATTAATTTCTCATTATTCTTTTTTAAACAGATCATTGACAGTTTCAATTAGATACCTAAACGATAGACTGATCTTAAGTAATTAATGTATATTTTAGATAAAAATTACATAGAAAAAAGCAACTGATATATAAATTTAAAATATCTTCTTATTAAATAAAGCTTGCTACTATTTATGAAAATAAAAGAATCAAATCCATAATTTTCATTTGCATAAAACCTTTATGTAAATACCATATTATACAAGTACAAACTGTAAATAAGTTGGTAAGTGGCATGTTTCTAAGTAGTTGTTACATTAATATTCAAAGAATTTTACTCGTATTAAGTCGGGGATATTTTGCTTATTCAATCTCTCTGGCTATCCGCTGAGATACTATATCAATTAAAGACATATTGAGTATCTATATAATCTTGGTCTCTTTCATTTTGATTTCATTTCCTTCTCCTGACCACTATTCCCTATGTTATATTATATTATCATCAAATGATCTTTATGTTTTATGATAACCATACACATAGATGACGGTTACCAATTTCCAGAAGGGCCGTTAATTTATTTGTAGATAATGGAAGGCTTAAATGATGATATTGATCCAGCAATTCTCAGAAGAGAAAGATAAAAATGAAACACCAGCAACAGAAGGGGCATTTAAAATATTGTTATATGTGCAATTATGAGTAATATAATAAAAAGTTTAAAGTTAGATGAACTGAAGGAAAAAGAATTCAAACAACAGGCTACCCGGAAAGAAATTTGTTCTAAATAGACATAAAATAATTATTGTCCTGAGCTATATTTATGAATTATAATTATTTACATTGACTGTAATTAAAAAAATTTAAGATAAATATTTGAGGCAATAAGATACAAAATACATATTAAATTTAATTTACATATTTTAATAAAATACTTCAGTTTCAGAAATACAGAAGAATGACGTAAATATTTTGTTATTAAAGACGCAAAATATCGGAATACTCAGTATTAAGAAAACTTCATTAGAATAATCGAAGACTAAGTAAATTAAAATACAATGTGGTATATATTTCTATGTATATTTCATATATTATATTATATGTATTTAATAATAAAATGTTATTCGATCCAAATTCTCCCGACTACCTTGTAAATAACTAAATGTAAATTTAATTCCATGGAGACATTACCAATCGTTGTTCGTCCGTGCAGGAATCTTCTTCTTCACATGCCTACTCATCGTACTAGCTCCATGTCCTATTATTTTACTCTTCAAACTATTAAACACTGAAACACACTCCCACTTGACATAAGATCTACCCTAAGCAAGCTAGCTTTTAAATACAAATTGCGTACCTCTCTCATTTCTTAGAAAAATCACTTTCCCTTTAAACTTAATCTCGGTGGTTACTCTGTTTGAGTTTGAGTATTTATGTATGTATTTATTATATGTATATTATTATATATTTAATATATTAGGTGTATGTTTATGTTAGTCTAATTATATAATTATATTAAGTATTGCTTTATTTTTCCTCAATTCAATAATTCACCGCCTACTTATTTCCCGGTTTGTCCGATGATTGACTGGTAGAGAACACCGTCCGACTTAACAAAGTCTGCCAAATGTACATAGAATTTTACTATGCATTGAAGTTTAAATAAACAAAATATGTATATAAAACTAGACAATGGGAATTTAATGAATTTATAATCAAGTTACTACGAGGCGTGAAGTTCCGACGTACCATGAAGAAGACTTCTGGATGAAGTCGAACCAATTATTGGAAAAGACAAATATAGAAAATTCATTAAATTGCTGTCCTCTAGACAAAAACTTAAGATAAATAGACAATAAATAATTGAAATTATATGATCCTTCTCATATCCTCTATCATCGCACATCAGAGAGACATAATTGTGATTATAATCAAAAATAATTGTTAGATAGCCGATAATTAAATAGTTCCTAATATGTAGACAGCAAAACGGACTTCATCTTAAGTTTTTATAATATACATTATTTCTGATTTTAGTGCTAGTTAAGTGAGTCTCCTAGCCCCCTAAATATATAATTATCTCTCAACTAAGTTAAAACATTTAGTTAATAATGTTTATACAGTACGTTTCAGGATAATATATTCACTAAATACACGTACTCGTAATACTTAGTATTTATTGACAACAATTTTCTTGTTTCTTTTTTTTTCCAGTTGCCTTTGCAATATTTTTTTTCAACTCTTTTGCCTGGCCCTGAGTTTGATTGTTATAATTTTATTAGTATTACTTGTTTTATGGTTTCTGGGAATAATATTTAATTGTAAGTAATTACTAAATTAACTAAGTATGACTATTAGGATGTATAGGTTTTTTTAACTGACAACCTATATCATATATATACCATATATTAAACCGCTTACCATCAGGTGGGACGTATGCTTGTTTGCCACCTCAATAGTATAAAAAAAAAATATAATACTGCTTATAGCCGACCCGGCATACATTATTTTGCCCTACCGCCACCTACCGGGTGTATCTCTTCTTATCGGGATAAACACTACCCATACCCAACTTCAGAAAGTTTAAACCAACAATGCGTGAAGGAAAATCGTGGCACGGGATATTTATATACATTAAAACAGGAAAAGTAGTTAACGGATATATCGCAGGAAAAGATTTCCTTCATATAATTTTCAGTGGTTACAATAGTTTGTTTAATAGAACTTAATAAAAATATAATTAAGTTTTGTTTAGATTATCATAGAAAACTTTTCGCCCCACAAAAAATACTATATATATTTACAGAGTTATGAAGAAAGGGCACCTTAGCGGTTAATATTAACTATCTCGATAAGCAAAAATCCTGTTCGTACAATTGTTTATGAAACAATGGAACACAGTACCGGAAAGCACCGCCAAATACTGCAACTTCTTATTCTAAGTTCTGGCCTTCTAACATCATTGCATTGTGATAAATTTTGCAAATGGTTTGATATTCGTATATTACCTGTATCCATATATCTAAGCTTTAATACTCATATACCCACCTACGAGAAAGTATTTATTTAACTAGATAATTGTTATTATTTTATGACATAAGTTATTACATATGTAATTTATAAACATATATCTGGTTATTATTGTATAAAATTACGTATAAATAAATAATTGATGGATGTAAAAAAAATAGCATAACCTAATAAAGCTCTTTTTATGTTAAAGTTTGGCATCATTTTTCAGTTACTAGAACTATTCCAATAAATCGTAATTTATGCAGGCCAATCTCGATCTTCGATCGAAATTAAATTTAACCGACTATATTTATTTTATTTTATTTTTTTCGTTTAGTCAACTCTCAAGTACTTAGAAGAAAAAAGTAGATACAATATTTGAGACAAACAACGGTCAAAAAATCAAAGAAAATATACAACAGGAGCATAATAAAATAATCTTATAAGAAATACTATATAAATTTAAGATTAAATACAATAACATCAAATTTGACGAAAATAGGATGGAATTTCCCAATACATTTTTTTTTTATACAACTTAGAATGGCAAACAAGCTGACGGCCCACCTGATGGAAAGTGGTAACCGTAGCCTATAGAAATGAGCAGTACCATGGACATAACAAAGTATACTGTTTCGCCCATGATACCCCCATGCGTTGCCATTCCTGAGGACTCAGGTGTTATTCCTCTGTACCCAGTAAATTCACGCCATATCCTACCCTTCGAACCGAAACACAGCAAACACAACTGCTTCACGGTTGAAACGCAAATGGGACAGAGGTACCCAAGCAATCGACTTTTGTACAAAGTCTCCCTCTGGTAAATACATTGGCGCCCAAATTGCTTTAAAAATATTCCGTTAATAAAAATTATTATTAAAATCGATTTACAATTGAACATACACAATTGGAGTCAAATCTAGAATTTCCTTTTTTAAATCATAATTTCGAACCGGCCCTTAGCTGAGTAACCTCGAGGGCCATATTTTAAATTATATTTTATAATGTAAGTCGACGGCTATCTAAATTGATTAGACATTTGATGAAATCAACGTAAAACTAAGTTTTATAATTCCTTTCAGAGAATTAATATCCATTTGATTATTATTGCTTTTAAATTGTCAGTAGATTAAAATCACTTCTGTCGTAGCTACATAATTACAATAAAATTTATATAAAGTACAATATAACTTGCATATTTATATGTAACCTTTGATTTTGTCACTCAAAATTTGAGCATTTTTAATTTACTTAATACATTACTATAGGGTATTATTAGTAACGCAGTTAATGACCCATTACTAGTAATATGGCCTTTCCGGTCAAGGTCCACATAATCTCCTTAGAAACTTATAGTAGATTTCTGTTGTATTTATTCGTCACAATGGGCCAACTGACTGACCTGGCTTCATCCTCGTTTTTCATCCCTCAATGGTATCCTGCCATCGTAAACCAATAAATAGCGAAACGGAATGACTATTTCATTTTCTTCCATTAAAACCAAAATAACACACCACAGGAAACAAATAATTCAATCATTATTAACCTAATGTTTAACCTAACTCACTTCCATAACTTGTTATAAGGGGTAATCCTCCATATTGAGGGGAAGAGATTATTAATAATAAGAAGATTTGTCCATATTACTACTATCAATATACCCTTTTAGGTCGACTTCCTCGCGGTTCCCCCTGAAAACTATCATGACTAATTCATGGTTAAATGCGTCACAATGGGCTAACAGGTTAGCCCATTGTGCCTTTTCATCCTCACGGGTGCTCCGCCAATATATACCGATAGCACAGGCGAAATTACCATTCTATTATCATCAATTAAAAAAAAGTCCTTTATATCCAATCCATCGTTGCCATAAGTAAGTTCGGTAGGAAATAATTTAAAGTGTTCTAGGTGTATTTATAAACGGTAAGCAACCCTATTTTGTCGCCGCCTCAAGTCTCGGGAGACATCCGCCTTGTTATGTGAAACTCTCAAAACTTATAATTGAAGACCCATGTGACCAATTTCAATGGGCATCGCATTAAACTGTAAATTTTGTGTGTCCTAAATGCCAGCCTATACTTATTGCAAAATAATAAACCCAACATCAGTATACAAATTAATAATACCTAAATAACAGAACGAAGTACACTATTCCTTTATATGTTAAAATTTATTTTTGTTTTTCCGATTTTGTGTCATTTACACGAATACCACATCACAGGGGGAAAAGGGATTGTTAGTAATGGAGACTGAGAATCCCATTGCTAGTAATATACCCAACCAAGTCGATGGTTAATTCCTGGTGAATTCATCATGATGGGTTAACTGGCCTGTTTTCATTCTTTTTTTATTCTCGTCTATCACGCTTCACTGGTGCTCCGCCAGCGTATCCCATTAGCGCAAGCGGGGTTACCATACCACTTTCACCCATCAAAAAAAATACCACATCACCTCAATTCTTAAATTCAGATATCGAGTTTTAAAGAAACCATGGGTGACTTGCCTCCTTCTGCTTGTATTAACACTTCTGCTTGTATTGTTGTGGAACAGGCTAAGGTCAGAGACCATGCTGCCTAGTCTTCAATATGATAATTTCGGCATAGTCGTAGAATACTGACGGATTAGACGAATATTACATATAAAGATCCGACAGTATTCTACGACTATAACGATTTGTCTGGAATAAGTACAGGCTTGTATCCGTATGACCTTTTTTTTTAAATTTATTCATGACCATGGATACAAGTCCTTCAGTCGCAGACATAACGTATGATCTCGTATTTTATTGTGTTGCCTGCATTTTATGAATAATGCTGCGAACTGTTAATTGTACTCGATATTCCATCAAAACACTGCCGTAATAATAATGTTAATACAAAATATATTTACTGTTTGCTATGGATCTCATCCTCGTTACAAGGTCTTTCCCTATATGGCAATATTACCAATGAGTCTACTGTCTTAACGCAGGGCTCGTCAGACATAGTCAAATACAAGCCCTCACAATCCATCTAATAGAGACGCATACCAACTCCAAATAGATTTAAATAATTTACTCCAAATACTATTGAATATCTAACTTACAACATACATACATTAATTATTAATAATTAATTTAAATTAATCGACTATATAACAATAAATACCTAATAGATCTGTGAAAACCGTAAGTATACCACCCAATTATGAGTGATTAATAGTTAATGATTTATTTTATCGTATATCGATTAAACAATTAATAGAATCGAGTACCATCAAATATATGGTAACATATTCACTATCTGACAAATGACGTCATAGATGCGTCATTGACACGTCATTATATGGTTTGTCTTGGTTTGTTTACTTCTGATTACCTTTTGTGTACATGAAATACTTATATAAAAATACTCAACAATTCTTTTATTAGATTATTTGCTAGTAAATTAGTGTATCCAATATCTACCTATCGTCTTCCAATACATTTTGTTGTAAAGAGGATTTAATTACACTTTTTTTCTGTAAATCGGTGAAAATGTCTGGATGTAAGTACTAAAAATATTTCTTTTTTTTATCGCACCCTTTTGTTTATACATATAATTCTAACCGATAATTATAATTAATAATAAATAAAACTTTATAAACGACTTATAATAATCATTGTAGAATTAAAATATACCCTGTTAGTACTAATAAAGAGATATGTACAGGTTAATTATGAATCATTGAAAATTATTTATCCGTGTTATGAAATTGTTGGGAAACGGACTTTGTTACTTTGGAAACAACATTACAATGATTCTCAAATGGCTCATTACCAAGTAATAATTTAAGAAATATTATTTTTCCTATATACTAATTATAATACACATAGTATACAGGAAAATCTAGTTCTAGCTATATTGTAATTGTCATGATAAATATATTATTGCATAATATTTATTAATTTCTAATTAAATATGAATAGATATTGTAAATAGAAGATGCTTTTGCTGTGTAAGCAAAATAATAATAAAAATATGTAAAATTAACCATAGGCAATTATCTAGTATATACCCTAAACAAGCAAGCAAACTAAACTTCACAAAGATGTCTGAGACTATGCACAGTTTTAAGAGGCCAGCTGTAATAGTAATAATAACTTACTTTTACTAGTGACTGACCACATTACAGAGATAAATAATATACTTCTTCATCTCATCTCCTATACATATGTTGCAATAATTTATAATTTCATAGTGATTGATTTTAATCATTAAGGTTCTAAGGGTAACAAACAAATTCACTAACTGAATAATATGTTATTGGTTTATCTTACCATATAGTTTGCAATAGAGTTTGCAGTATATCAATAGTATTTTTTTTATAATATCTTAATGTGACGATTACCAAAGGGAGACTTTGTACAAAAGTAGTTTTCTTGGGTACTTCTGTCCCATTCGTATTTCTACCGTGACACTGTTCTGTTCGTATAGCTGGTTTTGGAACAAAGGGCAATAAATGGCAATAAATTTACGCAGTGTATAAGCATAACACTTAGTCCTCAGGAATGGCAATGTATCATGGGTGAAATAGTATACTCTGTTATATCCATGTTACTGTTTGTGTTTATAGACAATGGTTACCATTTTCCATCAGGTGGGCTATCAGCTTGTTTGTCATTCTCAGTTGCATAAAAAAACAAAAAAATATATAACTTGATATAAAGTTAATGTTTTCTATCAAGTTAACTAGTTAGCTTTTCTAGTATTGTTTTGTATGGTTTACCATTCTATAGATGAATGATCTAATAGATAAACTATTAAAAGAAATAATTTTACAATATGATTGTTTTGTTAAAAATTGCATTGTATTTTTCAGATCCAGGACAAACCCCAATTAATCCAACACCAACTCAACCTGGTTATTATGCTCCACCAACTGGACAGCCAGGCTATCCTGGTATTAACCAGGGTCCATATCCTATTGGATTCAATCCATACCCAAATCAACCAGGGCAACCTGCACCTAATAATCCTCCACCCAGTGCAATGTCATATCCTGCTGTACCACAACCATCGGCACCTGGATATGCTTACCCTGGCTATCCAAATGTGACTCCTCAACAACCTGGTTACCCAAATGTAACTCCACAGCACATGGGCTACCCAAATGTAACCCCACCACAACCAGGATATCCAAATGTGACACCGCAAGGTTTTACATGTAAGTATATATGTTTAATATTTTCTTGTTAAAAGAACAATTTTCTTTTTAATTTACCATAAATTATGTTGCATTCAAAGAAATTTAAATTATCATATTAAAACATGAATATATAATCAAAACACCAAATAGCAATATCAATTTCTTTTATAAATTTTGTCATTATAGTAATTCTTCTTTTTTCTGTGCAAATATATTATACAGTTTAATTGTATTATCTATCTATCATATTTAAAAGCTGGGCTTTTGTTGGTAGAACTCTTGCCACTCACTACAATTTTCTGTGAGTCTTTTCACCTCTTGATACAACACAATACCAATATTGTCCTTGATCTACCTAATGTAACTATGCCTTGATCTGCCTCTTCCCCTCCTTCCTTCTATCTTATTTTCAATTAGAATGTTCATAAATTTATCATGTCTTATAAAGTGCCCTAACATTTTTTTCCTACTGACCTCAATAGTTCTTATAATTTGTCTCTTTTTCTTAACCCTAAGTAGGACCTCCTCTTTACTATTTTGATCCGTCCAGCTAATTTTCTCCATCCTTCTCCAGCACCACATTTTAAAGACTCTAAGTTAATTGTATTATAGATAACATATTTTACTTTTTCGATAGAAAAATAAAGGGAGATAAAGGATATGGCCTGGGATAGAACTGGCTGGAGGAAGATGCATGAATTAGTTGCACTGACAAGAGGAAACTCTAATGAAAATGAATTTTACTTTTTGGTATATTAGATATTATCAGTTTTAATGTGCAGAGAATAACATTCTACTGTAGCAGTAACTATTCTGTGTGCAGTTACACACCCTTCCAGATGTTCACGATTAATTGTAAAACTGTTTACTAAAAATATATAATTTCACTACCACTTGTCTAAAATAGAATAAAGCAACATTATCTCGCATCTTGCTCTATTCCTCCTCATAGGTTTGATAGGAAACTCTTAAATATAATAAAAAAAGAAAACATTTCAAATGTATTTTTCTGTTTAGACAACCCATAAAACTGACATAGAAATTTTGTATGAATTATGGATAATCTTATGCATATAATTTTTAACATCAAAGGTCTATTTATATCACTGCTGTGGAGCAGAGCAATATATTATTAATTTGTCTGTGTGACAATAAATCGCTTTACCAGCTTTCAGAATTTAACATTTTAGTATAAATATTATCTATCCTTAGTCATCGTTTTTACACTGTGCTGTTAAATAATTCACATTCAAAGATTTCTCATTAAGAAATTGTATTTTTTATTATTAATTATCTTCTGCTTGCACTTTGTTCATTATTACTTTATGTTAGTTGGCCCTCCTAATTTTGCAAGGCCAGGTATTTCTGACCCGGATCATCGTATCGAGTAATTTCTTTTCTAATTAATGTTTTCCCATACTTGTGCATAAGGTAGCAGGGGTCATGCTCTACCTCTTTTTTGTTTGGGTATTCACAAAATTTTTTCTTATCTAATTCCTCATTATCTGACTATATATATATATATCTAAAACTTTCTGTGAGTTTTTTCAGTCAGGGTCAACTTTTAACCTACCACAAATAAATTCATTTTTAATCTTATCTAGTCATGTTACTCTTCGAGACCAGCTCAGCACTTTCATATTTTTCTCATTAAAAAAAATTTATAAATATTCCAGCGGCAGTCGAGTGGATTCACTCCACTCCATCCAGTGCAGCCGCTCTCACAGACAAAGCAGTTGTCGCAGGGTATGAAGGTCATGATGGTAGTCCTCTTTGGGTGATCAGAGCTCGGCATGAAGGAGACATAATACCTGGAAAACTAGCAATTAAACATCGTGCCGCTTATGTTCCTTGGGGTGGCAAGGAAAATTCTGTGCAAAATTTTGAGGCAAGTAACTACTATTTATATTAAGGTTTACTACATCTGTATCGTATCTTCTTATATATAAAAATTCCGTGTCACTATCATTCGTTCATGCTAATATTTAAAACCACTCAATTTATTTTAATGAAATTTAAAAATGAACGTAAGTGAAAATAAATTGAATTGTTTGCTCTAACTTGAGAGGTAGATGGCGGCTGGTGGCACAACAAAGTTAGCCAGGTCAGCTAATAGGTACATTATAATTTTTAAGTGACTTACAAATGGAGCAGATTCTCAATTCGTTTAATTTTTTTTTTTTATTTGTGAGTAACAAATATAATATCTTCACCAAGATTTTGATAATTCTTTTACTATCTGTAGATTTTAATTTCGTATTTATGCCATATTAAGTAGTTTAGTAAGGAAGCATATTTATGAAATTAACCTTGAAGTTAGTTTTATTCTCATAGTAAATTATAATGTAAATTTTAAATTCAACAAGTAAATTGCCCGCCGGATATGTGTAAATCAAGTTTTAGGTAACTAACTGTTTCATATACGGCATGGTGTCTTCTAAATTCATATCGTTTTAATGACAATAGATAAAAGTATACAATTCATCAGTAATTCATAAAACTTATATGTATCATTCGCTTAGTTTTCTGAATCGTTATCGCCTGCTAATATTTAAACATCTGTGAAACTTTGCACTTTGTTTTGGTTCATGAAGAAATTTTTATGAGATAAAAAATATTACGCATATTGTTATACTTGTTAGACAGGATAAATAGTTCTTACATTGCTAAAAAAATCTGAATGGATTCTTTTAAATCTGAGCACATATTTCATCATCCATTGCTAATAATGATTTCTATTAATAGTTTTAATCGAGGAAATTCGACTAAAGTAAAACAACCAATTTACATTACGTATATCGAAGACGAAAATATGATCAACTAGTAAAACGAGTATGTATTGCATATGCATTAAACAACTATGGCATAAAGAACAATGGGGATAAAATGCATACCATAAAATTTTTTTTGTTCATTTGTATTATATTTGATGGTAGTATCTATAAAGGTATTTTGTGAAACTACCCTATTTTAGAATAGTTGATAATAAACAATATTTTTAGTTGCCTTTATTATATACCAGCTTTTTGCCCTCTACTTTGTACGTGTGGATAATAGAAGTAGGAAAACCAATAAAATAGGTCATTTCTAGATGGCGTATCAAGACGAAACATATATCAAATTTTAAGTTAGACCTCCAGGAATACACTATGTGAACCACATACAATTTGGTGCAGTAGTTGTTATGTAATACTGGAGCAAACATACTGACAAACAGAAAAAAATTGTAAAAAATATTGTCTTGAAATTTATTGGTCTTATTTAATCTATACATATTATTTTTTCTTAAATATATAAAGACATCGTCTAGTTCAATTTTATTATATTAATAAAATTAAGAAATACTTTTCATTGATTAATCTGGCTCAATATTATCAAATACTGACTGATGGAACGGCTTGTACTGTAACATAGAATAAATGTTATACTACTAATAAACTACTATTGTAGTAAACTTATATTAAATTGCTTTAATTAAATACAAAAATTTACAGGTGTTATGTGCTCGCCCAGAAAAAGTGAGATGGGTGGAGAGCAAAGATGGTGCAGTGCCACCTAACGCTATTGCAGCTGGTAGTACATACTCTGGAGAAACTTTGTTTGTGGGCAGAGCTAGACAGCAGGGATCATTGACACCTGGCAAGGTATGCATATTATATTTTTATTTTTTTTTTGCTCATTGCTTGATTCCTTATAAAACTGGTTTCCTAGCTTGAGAACCAGGACTAGGTGTTATGTAGTGATAAGATTAAAAGACCTCGTTGCTATTGCTAGCAATGCTCCGTCAGGCATCTCCACGCCGTTCTCACTGATACATTCGTCATGTTCATCATATCAGGCATCTGTCCACTACTGGATATAGGCCTCCCTGTAGACTGCCATAAATAATGGTCCTGAGCCACCTGCATCCACTGACTTCCTGCAATGCATTTCAGGTCGTCACTTCATTTGGCAGGAGATGTCCTACACTTTGCCCAATGCCTGATAAGTTAACTGACCTAAATTCATCCTTACCTATTATCCTTAATTTATGCCCTGCCAACATATATCGATAGCGCAGGCGGTTACCATTCCATTTTCGAAAAAAGCTTAACAAAATCAAGCAATTGGTGTGTGTGGCACTTATTATTTGTTAAAATTAATGTTATATACGTACTTGCGTACCTGTTTCGGTTGAAAAGGTGGAATATGACAGTAAAATTACCATATGTTTATTATTTTGTTATGCCCATGGTACTGCTCATGTCTATTGGCGACGGTTACCACTTTCTATCAGGTGGGCCGTCAGCTTGTTTGCCATTCTAAGTTGCATAAAAAAAAGTTTATTACAGTGTTTTCCGTGATGTTTACGGTGCTATTCATATCTGTAGGTGACAGTTATAACTTTTCATCGAACGGGCTATCTATTTTATTTATTTGACATACTATGTTACATATATAAAGAGAATGCTTTTAATTTTCTCTTAATGATAACATCATTCCGTTAATGTAACGATGTATCGTTAGACTGTTGTATATTTACATTTTTACTAATATTATAAAGTAGGTATAGTTTAATGAAGACACATATGTTAGCATAAAAATAATTAGAGGTATTCTGTTGGCTATTTTATAGGTTTCGTTAAATAAATATTTTCAATCGTCTTCAAAAAGAAGGAGGTTCTTATTTCGATTGTTTTTTTTTTATGTTTGTTACCTTATAACTACGTCAGTTATAAACGGATTTTTTTTTTTCGAAAGAAGATATAGATTAGTCCCATAGAAATGTTCCCAAAATCGGTTCAGTAGTTTTTAAATCAAAATAACTGGTTTATATATATAATAGCTAGCTGGCCCATTAACTCATCATAATAATTTAATTCCATTAATTTCCTTTTCAGGTCCATCCCAGTCACAAAGTGATGTACATGTCTTTCGCTGGAAATGAAATACCACATAAAATATATGAAGTATTGTGTACCGTCTAAATTTGTAAAGGTACCTACTTATGTTTTGTTTTTATATTGTATAGAGGCACCGTTTATACCAATGTTATTACTATTTAGATTATAACTTATTAGATCTGATAATATGTGCATATATGGGCATATTATACTTTTTGGATATTTATACGTCGAATATTTTTTATACGTTTTGTGTAAGGGTAAGGTAAATAAAATAAATTTGAATTTAAAAAAAGGTATATTTTTGTAGCGTTGTATCTCGTTAAATAAATAATTTTAAATATTTTAATATGTTTTTTTCACTTTGCATGTCTTATTATCATGAATATTATTTATATGTATAATAGTATTTCAATCTATATTTAGAGCTCCTAATTACTGGAGTTCCATTGATACACCTATAATTTTGTATGTACAGGCGAAGATACATGCAGTTCGAATTTAGATAGTTACTTAATATAAAATTTGATATAGCGATTGTCAATTAAGAAGCTGTCGAGTTTGCCATCGTTTAATAAAAAACTTTATAATAAAAAAATCACTTAAAAGTTTAATATCTATAGTTTTTGCATAACTACCTAACATTGTACCGAAGTAAAAAGGCACCTAAGGGACTTGGATTCTTAATATGATCACTTTCCTATATTTGATAAACTTTATGATTCCCTATGCCTACACACTTCATGCCCGAATTAACCAAAACTTATGTTACATACAAAACATAAGATAGGATATTTTGACATATTAAAAATTGCAATATCATTTACTTTTACAAAATCCTGTAGTTTATAGTGTAATGCAAGCTTTTATTTACTAATTTATTTACCTTTTATATCGATAAAACTTTGATACATTTTGTGATGATAAGTTATTACAACAGTTAATTTGTATTATTTTTTCTTGTTTTATATCAAAACAAACTTATACGGTGACCGAGACCTATCCCTCATTTTAAAGTATATTTTGTTATTAAAAGCTAATCATTTTTGTCTTTGTAAATCTGCTGTAAATGTCTGAGTGTAAGTACAACATATATTTATATTTTCAGCGCACCTTTCTATTCATAAGATTCTGACCGGTAATAATTAGTAGCTATTAAGTAAAAGTTTTTATGAAGAGCTATCCTTAAGACTAATCCCAAGTAAGACCACTAGACTATTATAAAAGAAAAATATACCGTGTCTATACTGTTTAGGGATATCGTTTCAAATATATACACAGTTAATCAGCTATACGTTTTAAGGCCGGCAACCGACTGACAAATCCCGATTGAGAGGTAGGTACACATTTACAAATGTCATACATTAATGATGTACCCACAAACATCACATCCCTCCACCAGTAGTATAAAATTATCTAAAACAATGAACAGCCTAAAATATCTCAATTACAATTTATAATTTATTTTTTTTTTTCGAGTCGCTCTAAGGGGTCTTTGACGCAAGGTGTGTTCATTATTATCAGTTGATGGCACATTGAGAGGCTGCACTGGATCCGAACCTAGAGGTATCGGACTCGACGCGCTGTTATCACTTAATATTCTCTCCTCCCCACCAGCTCGCTCCTCTCCCAATTTGGACATCATACTATTATGGATGTTCTCCGGTAATGATTGAAATGAAGAATCGCTGTTTTGATCTTGTTGCTCGTATATGAAATCTTCTTGGCCCTCTGTGCTCTTCTCATATTCTTGTTCAAAGCTTCCAATAATGCTTACATCATCAACCTCATAAGTTTTATCCGAGCCTCTATAAGCTAAAATTTGATCCACATGTTTCTTTACATACTGTTTACTTCCCGGTAATAACACGTTGTACATCCTAGAACCGATTTCCTTAGATATGATCCCAAATTGCCAAATATGTTTGTTACCATTATTATAATACTGCTTAACTAAAACTTTATCTCCTTTTTTGAAATCAGTTCTGCGATGTCCTCCGTATTGTTTACTCTGTAAGGTCTGTTTATTTTTAACATTAGAATTGGCTGTAGCTGCTACTGACTCTGTTAAATTATTTGTCCTATCCGCATTTGGCACGTGCAGCAGGAGGTCGAGTCTACAACGTAAAGACCGACCCAACAACAACTGGGCTGGAGAAAAACCGGTAGTACAATGACTACTATTTCTATAATCAAATAAAAATTTATTCAATTGTTGTAATATAGTTTTCTGTGTTTTGTTTTCTTGTAATATAATTTTTAAAGCCTTTTTTATAGTTTTTACACTGTTTTCTGCTTGCCCATTTGATTGTGGATGATAGGGTGCGATAGTTAAATGTTGTATTCCATTTTTGTTACAGAACTCATCAAATTGATTTGAACAGAAATTAGGAGCATTGTCAGTAATTATAGTTTTCACCAACCCAAACCTACTAAACAGTTCACATATTTTAGAAATAATCATTTCAGTAGTAGTGGTCGTCATTAAAAAACATTCTAACCATTTAGAGTGTGCGTCTATTACTACCATGAAATATTTTCCATCTATATACAACATATCTAGATGTATACGTTCCCATGGCTGCGAAGGGTACGGCCACGGCGCGAGCGGAGCGCGCGGTGGCGCGTTTCGAAGCGCGCCGCATATACTACAAGAGCCGATTTTTTGCTCAATATTCTTATCTATTTGAGGCCACCACATACGACTCCGAGCTTCCGTTTTCGTTTTAACAACTCCGAAATGTGAATTGTGCAATTCGTTTAATAACTGTTCCCTGAAAATAGCCGGAATAACTAATTTATGGCCACGCATTAAACAGTTATTCTCAACTGATAGTTCTAATCTACAGTTATAGTAAGGCCTTAATTCTGGATCGGTTATCTTGGTAGGCCACCCTTTTTCGATGTAACCCATTACTTTTTTAATTAATTTATCGCTAGCTGTAGCTTTTTTAATATCTGTTATAGTCACTGGTTTCAAAATTGTATCCGTGACAAAATTTATATATAAAGCTTGGTCCTCTACATTATTACTGGAATTCTGATCCGGTAATACCGATCTAGACAGGTAATCGGCAACATTTTGATCGCTTTTAATGTATTCTATGTTAAAATTGTAGGCCGATAAAAATAAGGCATACCTTTGTAATCTATTGGCCGCCATTTCCGGTACCCCTTTCTTACTTCCAAAAATTGATAAAAGTGGCCTGTGGTCTGTGCGAAGCGTAAATGGAATCATACGACCGTACAAATAGTAGTGAAACTTTTTTATAGCAAAGACAATAGCAGCCGCTTCCTTCTGGATCTGTGCGTAATTACGTTCTGCTTTGGAAAGTGACCTAGACGCATAAGCAACGACCCGCTCGCGTCCGTCGCTTTGCCGCTGGGCCAGCACAGCGCCCAGTCCTGCTGGACCGGCATCACATGTCACCACAGTGGCTAACACTGGATCGTAATGCGCCAGCACCCGTTCCGATGCCAATTGCTTTTTAATCATATTAAATGTCTCGTCATGTATCGCATCCCACCTCCATTTCTCATTTTTTTTCAATAAAGTATGCAGTGGATTTAATAAACTAGAAGTGTTAGGAATAAAGCATCTATAATAATTAACCATACCTAAAAAAGATTTTAATTCATTTACATTTTTTGGGCTTGTACAGTTTAAAATTGCTTCAACTTTTTTTTCCGATTTATGTAAGCCGTTACGATCTATTTTAAATCCTAAATATTCCACCGATTCTTTGAACAATTCGCACTTGTCAGATTTTAGTCGTAGGCCAGCTTCTTGCAGTCGACTTAACACCTCCTCTAACCTCTTAAGATGTACCTCTTTAGTCGCCCCTGTTATTAAAATATCGTCCAAAAATATACAAGTACCCTCGATATCTGATAATAATTGTTCCATTGTCCGTTGAAAAATAGATGGCGCATTTGACAATCCAAAAACTAAACGGTTGTATATAAACAAACCTTTGTGTGTATTTATACATGTAAATTTTTTTGAATCGTCTAGTACTAATTGATTGTAGGCTCTAGAAAGATCTAATTTAGAAAATTCAACCCCTCCATGCAGTTTAGCAAACAAATCCTCAATGCGGGGCAATGGATAATTATCTGAATATAAAGCCTTATTTAATGTCACTGAAAAGTCACCACATATTCTAATATTACCATCTGACCGAAGAACGGGTACAATAGGAGTGGCAAAATCAGAATATTCTACTTTCTCTAAAATTCCTAATTCCAAAAGACGTTGTAATTCATTTTCTACTTTTGTTCGAAGAGCAAGGGGTACCGGGCGAGGCTTAAAAAATTTTAATTGCGAGTCTGATTTTAATTTTAAATTTATTTTATATTTGTTAAAAGTACCTAACTCATCTTTGAATAAATCACTAAACTTTTTTTTTAATAAATCACTAATATTTTCAACATTTAAATTATTGCAACCGACCCTACACAAATGTAAATCAAATGCGCTAATGAAATCCCGGCCTAATAATGCTGGTTGATTGTTTTGTGTATTTATTACAAACAATTTAATTGGTTTAATGCGACCTTCAAAAGTGACTGAAGTCATTATGTAACCTACAGGTGAGATTTTGCTCCCGTTATAACAATTCAAAACAACTTCACACGGTTTAAGCTTATTTTTCTTTTCAAACGCGGACCGATATATACTATAAGGCAAGACAGAAACAGCGCTACCACTATCGACTTCGCTCATTATTTTGCAACCATCAATCTCGACTGCCTGCCGCATCGGCTCACCATTAATGCATTCTATATTAAACATATCATAACCTTTAACAGTGTCGTCATCATCCACAGCCAAAAAATAATTACTTTTTACGTTCGATTTACACATCCGTAACAAATGTCCCTTTTGATTGCACTTCCTACATGTGAACTCGGCATATCGACACTTATCTTTTGAATGATTTTTATAACCACACACATCACATCGATTCGCACCATTTCGCGACGAAAATCGCGCCGTTGCTGCAGGCGCCGAGCCAGGCCGCGGCGCGCCGCCGCCGCCGGTCCCGCCGCCGCCGCCGCCACCGTCGCCGCTGCGGCCGCCGCGCTCACTGCGCTCTGTACGCAACGAGAACACCGGCTGCGCCAGCACTCCTCCACTTGCATCCATGTCCACCCCTTGCAATGCTTGCCGCGCACACTGCACACCTTGAGCGATCTCCAAAGCTTGGTTAAAGGTCAAAGTTTCGACACTTTCAGCAAATAACTTTTCTTTCTCCTTCGAAAGCACCATACCGAGAACAAAACGATCTCGAAGCATTGTTTCCAGTTCAGTTTTGTACCCACAATGTTTAGCCAAATTCCGCACTCGAGCTGCCCATTCCGCTAACTCCTCACCCGGTCGTTGTTGTGCCGAGTTGAATTTGAGCCGCTCGCCAAAGGAACTTTTTTTACTTTTGAAATGATTATTTAAAATTTTAATCAACGCTTTGTAGTCGATAACCTCCACAGAGGTCGGGAAGGTCAAATCGATCGCTATTCGGTAGGTATCTTCAGCCAGCGCCGTGAGTAACAACGCACGGCGTTTTATCCCTGTCTTGTCTGTGTTATCGTCGATATCATTCGCTGCACAATATTGTACAAAACGGCTTTGAAAAATGCTCCATTCTTGCGTTCTATGATCGAAGCTGAGACTGCCGCCGAACATGCTTCCACTACTAGCCATTTTACTTCCACTACACTAAATGACTAAATGCACGCTTGAGTTCAATACCTCGTCGCCAAAATATACTGTTTAGGGATATCGTTTCAAATATATACACAGTTAATCAGCTATACGTTTTAAGGCCGGCAACCGACTGACAAATCCCGATTGAGAGGTAGGTACACATTTACAAATGTCATACATTAATGATGTACCCACAAACATCACAGTGTCAATACTAATAATGAGATGAAAGCAAGCTAATGATGAATTGACAAGTAGGTATCTATGATACGAAATTGTTAAGAAACAAACTTGTGACAATTGTAACACAACATTACAATCCTATATAAAAAGAAATCCTGAAATTATATATACAAGGTAATATCAAGATCAGTGTTCTTACTGTGAAACAGAATTATTTTCCTAAAGGTATATTAGAGCCTTTTAAATTTCTATCTTCATATACCTATTTTATAACTTAACTAGATTCTTAGTTCGAAAAAAAAAATAAAACTAAACTGTAACTGTCATAACATTAATATTATTGCATGAAGTTTTATTTTGTTACAATTAAATATAAACAAACATTGTAGAGCAAAAGCAGTGTAGGACTATCCCCTACTAGATGGAGTGACGACCTCAAATGCATTGCAGGGAGTCAATGAATGCAGGTGGCTCAAGACCATTCTTTATAACAGTCTATGAAAGAGGGCTATGTTCAGCAGTGGACGGATAATGGCTGAGATGATGACGAGGATGAAGCTTTGTAAGAAATGGAGTTATTGGCTGTTTTATGTAAAAGTTGGGAGGAAAGATTTTTTGAAGAATGCTATGCACGCTAAATAATATTAAATACTAGTAAGTAATCTTTAGTCATAGGTGTAAAATTAAATGAAATTGTCTATCCGCGTCTGTCGGTTTCTTCACTTATTTCTTTTAAACCATATAATTAATTTTGGTACGTGTTTGACTATTTTTTAAATATTGTTTTATGGGAGGTTTGTGTGTGTATAATGTGCATTCAGTGTGAAGACAGCAGATCGCTAGTAATAAATATGTGTTCATATTTATTGTTAACCATCTAGTACACAAGTTAGTGGTTAACCATAAATTATATTTATATGACAATTTGTCATACTAAAGTCGATTGACGCTAATATCTGTATAATTAAACAAGTTGATCAGCTTTATGCTAAAACATATTTCAGTTCTAATCGAGAATTTGAAGCGTACACGTACATTCTTGTGTGTGTTAATTATAATTTTTCATATATATTATGGGTAAGTATGCACTGATCTTATTTAACATAATTCTGCCTTCCTGAGGCGTACGATATTGATAATTTTTATTGAAATAATAGTTTATAATTATTCAAATATACCTAAATTGAAATGCTAAATATTGTAAATTATATAATTTTTAAATCGTGATAATATACTTAATTAAAAAAATCGTTTGTTCTTATTGCAATTAATTTTGTTTTTTTTTTTTTTACAAATATACACTCAAATTCTCTTTTAATCAGGTCTCTAAAGTGCTCTACCCATGTTTATATTTCGATGGTATTTTGTTGTTGGTATTTTGTGCTCAGGCGCAGTTATTAAACACCTTTTTAACTTACTGGCATATTTTACATTAATCTTTACTATTCATGCTTTTCTTTTATAATACTTTCACCAAAGTAAAAAAATAGCCTTTGAATATTTTCAACTATATTTTAGTGCAATGCATAATAATGTCTGTGGATTCAAATAGCATAAAATTTCTTTGTTTTATAGATGCTTTGACTCATAGGTCACTCATTATAACATCTAAAGTGAACTGAACTTCAAACAATTTCAATAATCGGACTCATAATTGTTTGTACTAGTTAGCAAGGTGTTCATTTAAACTTGATTAGTTAATTTTTGAGTATGAGAATCGGACCCATAAGGATAAATAAACATTCTAGCGTTCGAGTGGATTCAAGCAACTCCATGCGATGCGCCCGAACTCTCGGACAGAGCTGTCGTTGCAGGTTATGAAGGTTATGATTGTAGCCCTCTTTGGGTGATCAGAGCCTGGCATGCAGAGGATTTGATACCTGGAAAACTGGCCGTTGCACATGGTGCCGCTTATGTTCCTTGGGGTGGTCTAGAAAACGCAGTACAATGTATTGAGGTACGACATTATTTTATATTATATTATTGAACAACTGTCTGAATTGGAAAATATCGCATATTACTCAGTAAATACACACGCACGTAAAACACGAAAATAAATATTACGTTACTTTTATATATTTTCCTATTTTTTTTTTCATATTTTTCCCTTTTTTTGTCCATGTCTATGTCTATTGTTATTTATGTGCTGTAAGTAATGCAAATAAGTTATATATCTATTTATCTTCTCTAATTTTCTAAGTCGATTTTGATAATCGTTTTATAATCGATATTACTTCGTATTGGCTCCGTATTAATTTAGTAACGGTTGAAGTATGTTTTTTCAGCATTCATAAAGGTTGATTCCTTTATATCGCTCATTGAACTTTATTAATTAATATAGATCTTATTAATTATCTCATGCTTGTAATTAAACTGTGGAACTTTGCAATTTGTTTTGGTTTCCGAAAAAAAAAAACCTCAATTAGATAATGACATTACTCATACGCCTGTTTTATATGTACTGTATTTCTTAAAATAGTGTCGGCCGCTACTTATCGTTCTGACTCAAATCATGTATCATCCATTACTAATAACATAATAATAATTTTTCTTTATAGATTTAACCCAAAAAAAAAACCGACTAAAATAATCGATTCAGAATGTATCGGATATACCTACGAACACAATCTACTAATATACATAAATATGTATTTGATAATCCCTAATGGGGTTTATTTTTTGATGAGTGGAAATGGTATGGTAACCCCGCCTGCGCTAACGATATACGCTGGCGGAATACCAGTGATGGGTGCTATATGAGAATGAAAACAGGCCAGTTAGCCCATCATGATGAATTCATCAGGAATTAACCATGATAGTTTTCAGGGAGAACCGCGAGGTCGACTTGGTTGGGTATATTGCTAGCAATGGGATTCTCAGTCTCCATTACTAACAATCCCTTTCCCCCCACCAATCCCTAATGGGTTGAAGAATAAAAAGTACGCTCATATGAAATAGGGAACAAAATAATGTATAAACCCTTAAAAAATATTGATATCTTAAATATTAATATAGAATAACTACTGAGCTATTGATAAATAAATAAAAAATGTTTTTATCTGTGGTAGCAACTACTTGTAAAAATATTCTCCTGGTCACATAAAAGCAAAATTTGCAATAGACCTGTCCAGATAAACAATGTTTTAAATTATATAATACGTTTTAGTTGTCCTAAATTAATAAATTTAAATATTTTCTTTTAGATTTACCATACGGTAAGCAACATTAAGCAATTTAGGGAACTAAATTGTATAAGACACTTCTATTCCATGGATCTGGTTCAACACAAAACATCAATGTAATGTCCACTACCATGACTGAATTTTTTAATAAAATATTTGTAAAAATGATTATATTAAATTGCCTTTCTTAAATGCAATTTTTACAGGTGTTATGTGCTCGTCCAGAAGATGTGCAATGGCTAGAGTGCAGTTGTGGTACAGTGCCACCTAATGCTATTGAAGGTGGCAGAACATCATCTGGAGAAGTTTTATATATAGGCAGAGCTAGTCAGCAGGGCTCATTGACACCAGGCAAGGTATGAATATGTCTTTATGATGTAAGATTCTAAAACCGCCAAAGCTATATACTTTATTTTATGCGATAGTAGATAACAATGAATGAATATAATTTTTTTAATGGCTTAAAATAAAATATTACTAGCGATAGGGCTATTGGACCCCATTGCTAACAATTTTGTATTGTCATAGTGATTTTTTAAGCCATTAAGACGCTAAGAGGATAATATGGATAATCATAACCACTGTGAAATTTGGTTTACATGTACACTTAATTTCCTTTTCAGGTCCAACCTAGCCATCAATCGATGTACATGTCTTTTGATGGAAAGGAAATACCACATCATGTCTATGAAGTGTTATGCACCGTTTAAAAGGTATAAAGGTGTATACTTATATTACTCATATTATATTATGTATATCGTCTTATGTTATCATGCTGCATTGAAACACTGTTTATACAATATTATGATATTTTAATTAATGTATTTGGCAATATTTCCCTCCGCAACATTACGGTTTCGTGGATTTGGATTTTTTTTAACAATGTTAAATGTAATAAACTTTGGGGCATTCTTTCTAAATATGAGATCATAGGTGCTCCATTTTCCGCTGTACAGTTTATATGTAACAGTGAATATGTGCTGATGGGTAGCAATATAACTAGCGTCAGATAGGTTTGCATACCGTCAGCCAAATTGTTCTCTTATATATGGACAAATATCTCAAAAGATTGAGTAGTATAAATGTGGAAGTATGGATCTAGTAGTTAACTGTCCCTGTGAGATGGTGCAATCCTAGTTGCTCCATTTGAAACTGATCTACGAACCCTAGTCACTGTAATGAAATACGATTCCATGGGCTGAGGGGGGCAATAGAAAATGAAAATAATAACTAATCTTTGAATGGGTGAATTCCAAAATCATTGCGAGAATTGTAGTATAATAATGTTTTGATAGAACATGTGGATGAAATTATATGTCTTAGATCGCAGATTGAGTGAGGGTAGGAAACACACTGATATAGAAACAAGAGCGAATGTTGGGAATAAAATGAATGGTGTGATAGGGAAACCATATTCGACAAATATAGTTTAAGCCAAAAGGTACAGTTGGCCACGTGTAATTCCATAGTTGTCCCCAACTTGTACAGTTGTTAAATTTTAGTATGTATGCAAGCATAACGCAGTATATACTTACGTCCGAATTAAAACGGAAGTATCGGTGTTATTATAAGAAAGGGCGTGTTTTATTAGTTCAAACATGTCGATCGAAACCTATAGCACTCGATACTCTCTGCCACCCCGTAAGATACTTAGCGTGAAGATGTATAGAACTGGCAATGTGTATTTAAGGGAGGTGAAATTATTACTATTTTGATTTATATTGTTATTATATTTTTTTATTATTCTTCCAAATGTTTACTCTCAATCAATAAATTGTAATAAACATATTTATTTTCTATTCTTATTATTTATTAAATTTTTGCCATTTCTCTTAATAAGCATACTGAGGAATTAAAAGTTAAATTCCAAGCTCTTAATTGCTAAAAACCCTTAACATTTTTTATTTTAGGAGTATATACTCCTTGCTTTGCTTGCTTGCTTGGTTTTGCTGCTTTTTATACAAAAAGCAAAATATATATTTCCTTTATGGTTTTGATTGTGGCGAGAACATAACATTTTTAAACGACTGAACCGATTGCAATCGAAACTGTTTATTTTCTTTGGTTCATATTGATTTTGTGACGATTAATTCTATCTATCTATTGCATGATTTTATACAAAAAGCACCTTCTCAAAAATATATCATCTCGTCATTGCTTCGGTTACTGAGCCGGCCTCAATGACGCTGTCTATCAGTAGACACCCACTGGGGGGAGATCTTTGCCCACCCATACGCTTAATGTGACGATTAAAGCTGCCATTCTATTTTAATTGTAACGTGACAGGGAGCAAGTAAATAAAAATATAAATAGGTATTATATTCTCTATTTATTTACAATAAAACAAATTTCTAAGTACCTACCTACTCACATAGACTGATAAATACTGCTTAAGTACTATTTTTGTAGGAAATTATACACAATAAAAATCTTACGTCTATAATAATGTAATGGTCGACGCAGAATGAAGTATATCTATGTCTAATTAATATATTAATAATTTTATTGTTTCAACTAAATATTTTGTCTTTATAAAATATAATTTTATAATATTTGAGTATATATCTAATAGCTTATTATTATTTTTATTATCACTTCTACCATCATTAATAATACACTGAATATCTCTCCCACAGAATATATTTTTAAATGTCTTTACATGGATAGCTATGATATCTATGAACCGAAGGGTATTACCCCATTAGATTGAAGAAGTGAATAACAGATGGTCAAGGACTGTTCCTTATTACAGCCTGTAGTAGAAACCCATATACAAACTTTAATGTTATACTTTCATATTTAGAATAAATTTTAAAGTTTGCAAGAAGTCTATGGATGCACGTAGTTCTGGACCGTTCCTTGACAGTCTATGGGGGATGCCTATATTTAGCAGTGGATGAATAACGGCTGATATGATGATGATGGTCTTAGAGTTATTTAAATACTTTATTTGACGTAAAATAAATCATTTTAATAATTGGTTAAGTAGTTTAAACGACACTGATAACTATGCAATAATTTTATATGACTTATATAATATATAGGAGTTTTATTTATATGGTTTATGGCTTACGACATTACTATATATAATTACGTTTAATATCTATACTAAAACATTTTTAAATCAAATCACAATTTATTGGTATCACATTTTCAACATACATATTATTTATTATTAGAATAAGGTTGCAAAAACCGCGTATTGAATCAGCCTTTGATTGGATCACCTTAATACAAATATCTTGTGATCTACCAAGGTGATCCAATCAAAGGTCCTTTAAAGAATTAGTTTTTTATCATTTTTTTTTTAATATTCACTAGACCTATTACATTTTTTTCTATTATTATTCTTTAGATTCTATACGTGTTCAAAGTATATATAAGTTTAGCAGCAACCTTACTCTGATCACATTTTATATCAGTCCTTAATTAATTTTCTTACATTTAATTACTAATTACTCATAAGTCGTCATTAATATCAATGTAACATAAATATCAGAATAATTTACTATGAAAAAATTCGTGTCAATTAAATCGCGAATTCGGTAGAATAAACGTCATAAGACCCGGACTGTTTCATAGTGAATTGAACAATGTCGTAATTAAGTCTTAAAAAGTATATCTGCATATATAATTAAAAATGTTTCGATACCATATAAATATCTAAATAATGTATTAAACCTTCAACAATATGGACAACTACCTATTCATTCCTCATCAAACAATCGACTGATTGATTACTGTGTACAGTCGATGGTAGATTGTTTTCGACAACTTAGATAAGACTGAGCTAAAGTTCAGTGTCCACTACAAACAATATATATGTAGATATATTCTTACATATATATAGGATTAAAAGTTGAAAAATATTTGAGTAAACTCATATTACTACATAGTAATATGAAAGTTTACAAGGAAAGATAGATGGATGGATGAATGTTTGTTTGTTACTCTTTCACGTAAAAACTTGACCACATTTAAATGAAATTCGATACACAGATAAGTTATATCGTAACTAAGCATATAGGATATTTTATATACTGATTCACACTGGTAAAGCCGTGGGAAATAGCTAGAAGTAAATAATTATCACAATGCTTCATATCGCAGTTTCTATCTGATATAACAATAGTATTTACATTTCGGGTTTTTACAATTTTTTTCTCACTCATTTATTAACCGACTTTTTTTACTGTTCACGTCCCAAGTTATTTTACGACTGGCTTTGTAGATATTGATTTTAAAAAAAAATTAAAGTTGATATTTTCTATTTATCTAGTCTAGAACGTATTTTATAGTAATTTATTCATTTTTCATAATCTCTAACATAACGTAACTTAGAAATTATCTCTGTCAGTTACAAGAATTAGAGGAGAAAAAATATACGTAAATAATCCTTGACAAAATTTATGAAGGTGTAGAAATGTAGAGATGTGTGCTTGATGATATTTATATATATACATTCAGAAGGAGTGAAAAAAAGAAAGATTTAGTACGAGATTGTATAATTAATAATATTTACAGTAAATAAATTCAGATATAATAAGTCGCGATACAAAATATAGTTCCGTAAAAATTGCTAAGACAAGGAGATTGTCAAGAACGTCACTATTTATTTTTCTGTCACTATATAGGTTTGAAAGAGGTTGGTAGCCTACATCACTCCCCCCCATGAGACCTGGTTAAGGGCGATAGAAATCTGGAAATCGGACACGACGTCCAGAACGAGTAGTCCTAGCTACAGGATTGTTCGTGTCTTGGTTGTTAAGTGTAGTGTGATCGTTTAAAATGTAGGCAGGTTTCAACCTATCTATCGAAACAGTGACTTCTTTACCTTTGATTAGCAATTTAAAGGTTTTGTCACCTCTGAGCAATACAAGATAAGGTCCTGTATATGCTGGTTGGAGAGAACTACGCAATGCGTCTTCGCGAAGGAAAACGTAATTGGTAGTGGCAAGATCTTTGAAAATAAATATTTTGTCACTTCTATGACGAGAAGCAGCAACAGGTTTGATTTTATTGGCGAATAAACGTAAACGAGCCATAAAATCAGTGACATCAGTAGAACCTTCCAAATGGCGGTCGAAAAATTCGCCTGGAAGCCTTAAAGGTTCTCCATAGGTAAGTTCTGCTGAAGAAGCTTGTAAGTCTTCCTTAAAAGAACTTCGTATGCCCAATAGTACCCACGGAAGAGATTCCGTCCAAGTACTATTCGCATGACACATGATGGAAGTCTTAAGCTGCCTGTGAAATCTTTCAACAAGGCCGTTAGACGCTGGATGGTAGGCTGTAGTTCGTTTGTGTTCGAACCCTGTAATCTGAGATAATTGTTCGAACAGCGCCGATTCAAATTGGCGGCCACGGTCCGTAACAATTTGCTCAGGACAGCCAAATCTAGAAATCCAGCCTGAAAGTAAAGCCTTGGCGACAGTTTCAGCTGAAATATCGGTTATCGGTATTGCTTCAGGCCACCTTGTAAAACGGTCGATGGCGGTGAGACAATACCGATATCCCTGAGACAGAGGCATGGGACCGACAAGGTCAATATGCACTACCTTAAATCGTGCTCGAGGTAAGTCGTAAGTGCCCAACGGAGCAGACACGTGACGACTTACTTTAGATCGCTGACAAGCTAGACAAGACTTAGCCCACACTCTGCAGTCCTTTCTGATGCCGGGCCATACAAAGCGTTGAGCTACCATTTTAGCAGACGCGTTAGACCCGGGGTGGCTCAGAGAATAAAGGCTGTCAAAAACTTCCTTTCTGAGGGTTTTAGGAACAAATGGTCTAGGAGTTGTTGTACTGATATCACAGTACAATGAGATACAACTCCCAGGTAATTCTCGTTTCTCTAGACGTAAAGAATTTGGTTCGTCTAGATAATTAGATAATTCAGGATCAGTTTCCTGTGCTTCAGCTATGGCTTTCAAACTGACTGGTTTTTGCAATTCATTAACACGTGATAACGTATCAGCCACAACATTATTTTTACCCGAAATATGACGAATGTCAGTGGTAAACTGGGAAATGTAATCTAAATGTCTATACTGCCTAGGCGAACAGTTGGCTTTCCGTTCATGGAAAGCGAAACTGATCGGTTTATGGTCAGTATAGACTGTAAAATGTCTAGCCTCAAGCATATGACGAAAGTATTTTATTGCATCATATATTGCCAATAGCTCTCGGTCATATGGTGAGTACTTTTGTTGAGAAGGGCTGAGTTTCTGGGAAAAGAATGCTAAAGGTTCCCATGCACCATTCTTAAATTGTTGAAGTACTGCACCAATAGCAGTATCGGAGGCGTCTGTGACTAAAGCTAGCTTACATTCACAATCTGGATGAGCTAACAGTGCAGCATTCGAGAGACTTTCTTTACAGGCTTCAAAGGCTTTTAATGTGTCTCCAGTTAAGTTAATAGGACTAGAGCCTTTAACTGAACCTGCCAAAAGAGAATTAACTGGAGCCTGGATTTGGGCAGCATGAGGCAGAAAACGCCTATAAAAATTTATCATGCCCAAAAACCTTCTAAGCTGCCTTACATCTTTTGGTGGAGGAAAGTCCTTGATCGCCTGCACTTTAGTATCCAGGGGCCTAGTACCTTTTTCGGAAATTCGATAGCCTAAAAAGGTTACTTCCGATACGCCAAAGACCGATTTTGCAGTATTAATTACAATGTTGTATTCTTTCATCCTGGCAAAGACAATACGTAAATGCTGCTCATGTTCAGCTTCAGATTTGGAGAAAATGAGGAAATCGTCCAAATAACAGTAACAGAAATCCAATCCCCTAGTCACCTCATCAACAAATCTTTGAAAAGTTTGACCTGCATTTCTTAAACCAAAGGTCATATACGGAAATTCGTATAGACCAAATGGGGTTGTAATGGCAGTCTTCGGTATGTCCTGAACACTTACGGGTATTTGATTATAGGCTTTAACAAGATCAATAGTAGAAAACACTTTACATCCAGAAATGGAATGAGTAAAATCATGAATGTGTCTAATCGGATACCTATCAGGAATCGTCCGTGCATTTAGCATACGGTAATCTCCGCAAGGACGCCAACCGTTATCTTTTTTCGGTGCTAAATGTAATGGCGATCCCCACGGACTCTCTGAAGGCCTAGCTGTGCCATTAGCTAACATGGACTCAAACTCTTGTTTGGCAATTTTCAACTTGTCCGGAGCAAGACGCCGGGGATTGCAATGTACGGGTGGGCCAGGTGTTGTGCGTATGTAATGAACTGTGTTGTGTGAAATAGTCCTATGTACCCCTGCTGGTCGTGTAATTTCAGGAAAATCAATTAAAATATTATGAAATTTAGAATCACCTATCAAAACTTTTACAGACTGTATTGTGTTGGATGGATGTGAAAGTGAAGCTGTAGCAGTGAGTGTAGTGGTATTATCTACTAAACGTTGATTGCGACAGTCAACCATTAAATTGTAAAAGGATAAAAAATCTACACCTATAATACACTTTGTTACATCAGCGACTACAAAACGCCATGGAAACTGTCTACGTAGTCCTAAGTCTAGGTTTAAATGTGCGTAACCGTAGGTATCGATGACGCTACCATTAGCAGCACGCAGTTGATAATTGGTCTTGGGCCGACGTTGTCGTAGTAGTGATCGTGGAAAGACGCAGAGATCGCTTCCGGTGTCGATGAGAAACTGAGTCTTTGTATTCCGATCCATAACGAAAAGGCGACTACAGGAGGTTGGGCAATCGCTGGTCGCCGCTATCGATTGCCTTGTTAGTTTTCCTGATTGTAATCGCATGGCTTGATACAATTGTTAGCTTTACTGCCAAACTTATGGTGATACCAACAAACGGGAAATTTCTTATAATTAGAATGAGACCTTGATGCTGATCGGCTACGTTGACACTTCCTAGATCTGGAGCGCTGGCGACGATTTAGTTGCATGGTAAGTGACTTTACTTGCCTGCGCAGCTCGGCTATTTCATTCGCCATATGATTGCTAGAACTTGGTCCTGCAGCTGCATCATCACGAGCTGTCGCTTCAACTTGAGGTGAACGTGGTGCGAGATCCATAATTCTATCTGCTAGATCCGCTAACACATCTAAATCTGCATTAGGTTGTGCCACAAGGATGGTCTGAATATGAGCAGGAAGACGGCTGGTCCAAATTGTTTGAAGAAATTCATCTGGTACCTTTGGTCCGGCTAAGCTCTGCAAATGCCTTAAAAATTGTGAAGGCTTGCGGTCGCCTAGCTCCTCATGCATTAGCAATTGTTTCACCTTCTTCTCTTTGGATGCACTGAGGCGCTTAACCAACTCCAATTTCAGCTTTTCATACTTCCCCTCTGCTGGCGGACTGATAATAATGTCTTTAACTTCTTTAGAAAACTGATGGTCGAGTTGTCCGATTACATAATTAAATTTTGTTAGATCGCTAGTAATTTTTGAAATAGCAAATTGGCCCTCGACTTGAGCAAACCATATCTCTGGCTCTTCTGGCCAAAATGGTGGAACTTTAATTGCGACTTTAAATACCTCGGATGACGTGTCGTCTCGTACTGTGGAAACGGTGCTGCTCTCCGTCATTTTTTCTTCCAAAAATCGATGAATGAAAATGTTCAAAAGGGAGTCACCAGTGTGGAAATGTAGATGTGTGCTTGATGATATTTATATATATACATTCAGAAGGAGTGAAAGAAAGAAAGATTTAGTACGAGATTGTATAATTAATAATATTTACAGTAAATAAATTCAGATATAATAAGTCGCGATACAAAATATAGTTCCGTAAAAATTGCTAAGACAAGGAGATTGTCAAGAACGTCACTATTTATTTTTCTGTCACTATATAGGTTTGAAAGAGGTTGGTAGCCTACAAAGGCTATCTAACTTGTTTAAATTTTAATACTAAAGTTTACTAGTACATAGCATGCTTTCAGTAAAACCCATTTCTATTTGAGACTGATTTATGTTATCGTCTGCCTTTTCATTGATTACCTGTGTCTGATTTGTATCTTGTACTTTTTTTGTGTCACTCGATGTAGTTTCATCAGTTTCGAAAGCTTTATTCTCGAGTCCTGTTTTTTCTTGTTTTTCCTCTGTTCTAGCCATGTTTTCCTTGACGGCAGCAGCCGCTTCTGCGTTGATTTGTTTTTTGTTTGCTAAATACAACCATCTGTAATGAACAAAATAAACTGGGCTAATTTTGTGCCTCTGTAAAATTACTTAATTAAGATTTAAGGTCGTATTTTGTAGACTATTTTAATTGAATTATGGTTATATATTAATCAATTGATGTAAATAACTTTTATTTTTAAACTTTAATTTATAATTGTGATGTTGGAATCGATTCTGAGGTGGTATTTTCCTAAAACCTATGTCTAAAATTAAAGTATTCTTATTGAAAGGACAAAATATGAACTAATTTTGTCATAGATTTAAGTCAAAATTGTTATTATTTTTGTTTACCGTGGTCCATAAAACAATAATTTTGCGAAATCATCAAATTAAAATAGTAGATTAATAGATAGATTTAGAGAAATGGTGCCTCAATCGGCCCCATTGTCAGAATTGGTTCCTACCAATATACGTATTTAACTGATATTTTTAACTCTTTTTTGTCACTTATCAGTAACGTAAAACTTTGTAAAACTTACGCTAGGAACTACTACTACTAATTTTGTGAGAGCGTCGGCCGCTCGTGTCAAGAGTTTCTAGGCGACCTTTGTTACACACGAAGGCTTCCAACATGGCTTATCGGAATTCTCTGGGTTACGTGCCCTGTGCAGTACCAAACAAGCTCAGCTTAGAACTGATCATTTAGAAATGATTGCCAAATCATTTCTAAATGATCAGAGTTATAAGCTGGGATTTTGGATTCCTGATACGGAGTTGGAGTTACACCGTTTATTGTTGTGGTATGTAATATTTTTACTTTGTTGAGTATTTATATCTTAAGTTGGTTTTAATTGATTATTTATGAAAAAATACTAACAAGAATATGACAACTGCTGGTACAGTAAGTCCTCCACCGAGAAGGAAAAATGCTCCCGGGAAACTTTTTATAGTCGCCGTGTATACTGTTGTGTACATGGGCGCATACACCAACGGCATCATAGCTTCAGCTAAACCAAAGAATGAATTCACTTTGCCTGAAATAAAAAGATAGGCGATGTTTTAATAACAATTCATAGTAACGTAACCATTTTATGTAAATATAGATAAATGTAGCTTATCAGGTCGACCACCACGCGTTATTCCATGATGGATGTTTAAGGAATTCTAAACTGTCTTCATTCCCCCGATATTATATAACGTTAGGCATACATGAGTGCATTATTCCATCCTTATCCGGTAAAAAAATCGCACAAGTAAAATTATGGCAAAGAAACTGACGACCCGCCTAATGTAAAATGGTTAGGTACCATCGCCTATACACATAAATAGCACAGAATAAACTGACGCTCATGATACTCATTCATTACCATTAGTAATGTCTATGGATTATTATACATATATGTGTATATTTTAATGAGTTACCTGTACTTACCTAATTCATCCCGCTCTACCAATTTTGACACCATAGACCTCATCGCTATAAACGATGTTCCATTAAAAATCTCAACTAATGGAGCTATAAAAAAAAAAAAATATTAGAAATTTTTATATTGTGAGATAACATCGGTTGCTTTTAAGTTTATAATGCAATATAATTTTCCTTTTTATAAGGTTTAGATAAATAACTATTACTTTAATGTCTTTCAAAATTGATACTTAAATAATTATATTTTACCGCATAATTACATTTCTGTTTTGCCAATGGTTGACTGTGACGGAATGCTATATTGTATTGATTCCGTCTTTCTGCCAGACTTTTTTTTTGTAATTTGGTTAATAAAGAATAAATAAATGGGATAACAATTAAGCCTAGCAAAATTTATATTTAGTGTCAAATATGTGTTTCCACTATTCATACAATCTAGACCAACTAAGCAATTTTTCATTGCATTCAAGTGTTTTTGAATCTGGGAGTTTATATGCTGGCATACTCCCTACCACTATATACTATATTATAAATGTATGTATATAATTAAGGAAAATGTTAATATATACTTGCATAGGGGTTTGTATCACATGTGTATATATCTATTACTTATTATATTTTCTTACCAATATAGATTTGCCAAGTTTTTGTTGCAAAGGCATACATAAATCCGGATAAAATTTTACTTGTGCAAGATATTACTCCAATAATTGCGTCGTCAAACTTTAACAAATGACTAAAGACTCCAACGGAAAACAAAGTTCCTGAAATGATATAAACGTTACGTTTGTTACCCAGTTACTTGCCTTCAATGTTGACATTGCATCTAATATTATAGTTTTACCTTGTACCTTGATTATATAGACCCACCATCGAATATTAAAAACGGGCCAAATTTTGTCAGCTAATTGTAAAATTTGCTGACTCATTTTTTTTTATATATATATATATTTACGCGCATAATTTATCTTGACGTATTATTTATTAAATAAAATTAGTTGTCGCGTATTAAGAAGATGCAGAAATTATAGATATAGAAGGTATAAAGGAATCAGTCATAACTATTTATTACACAAAATTGTATGAAAAAGATGACCCACTTTTCTCGAAGCATTTGTATGGAAACACTATATACATAATCTAAGAGTTTTACCTAAAGGTAAAAAAGCAAAGGTAGGTTACCTACGTAAGGGGCATATTTAAATCCGTGATTTTTTTATGTGACATGGAATAGCAAATTGGATAATGGGCCATGTGATGAAAATTGAGAATCATCATCTACATACATCATGAGTTACTTATGACGTCTATAGGTGATGATTATATATTACATCACAGTGTATAACTTAAAGCCTATCACTTCACCTTTTTCCATTCCTGCGTACTATGTTATTTTCCTACTCTGTAAATTCACAACTGCTTGGTGGAAGAAATACGACAAAGGTATCTAAGTATAGGTACAACTATTCTAAAAAATCTTCCTTTGATCGATTGATTGATATTATCTTTTTTTTTATATTTAGTAAACTACATGATGACCTATTTTTTCACTTTTAAGACATATATTAATAGAAGAAATATATTTAAGATATTTACATACATCTAGGACTCCATATGTACAGTTGTACCTACACTCGTACACAGACTATTTTAATCAGCCTTAATAATGTTACTTAATATAAAACTAAATTGATAATATTGAATTAAAAAGTTGAGTTTGTTATCTCGTAATAAAAAGTCGATATATATTAAAAATTTCTATTTTTAACAGACATATTTTTAAACTATATAATAGAAATACTTCTGATACGTCATTTGGAGATTGTCGATGCAATTTTTTTTTAAACTGCACCTAATTAAATATCATGTTATGGTACTCAATCTTTATAATCTCCGTGCATACTCCAACTCTATATGACGTTTTTACCTATTAGATCATATTTAAACTTACTAAGGAACAACGATTTTTCTATTAAATCGCCCATCACTAGGTAGACTAATGCGACTAATCGTCAACTAATTGAAAAATAGCCAATTAATACAAGGCAAGCACTAAATACCTTAGTCATTTTCTAATATTAGCTTCAAGTGGCATTTGACTTTTAGTAAACTACTTCGACATTCTTAAATTATTCATTTATAATTTTTAGAGAGAACAAAATAATAATGAATAAATAAAATAATATATATCTTATTAATTTATTTATACTTTATTATACACAAAAATTACACAGTTAAAATCTATATTAAATGAAAATATACAACAGGCGAGCTTAACTCTGTAAGAGTTCTCTTCCAGCAAATCTTGAGTGGATTAAAGCATTAACTACCAATCTTAATTTTCTGTATTTCAAATAAAGTAAATAATTGCTTACAAGCTATGATATTGTGACGAAGGGCTATGTAAGTATTATCAATTTTCTTAGTCTGCTAACTGTGTGAGGACGCTTCAAGTCATGAGCTTAAAATGACTATGTAGTTTTACTGTGTGATATTATATTTAATTTTAACAATCAATATACCTAATTGCAGAAGTTAAGAATTAAAATAAATAAACTCAGTATAAATGTAAGAAATTTTTAGTTCTTTATACTGTGATAAATCGATGTGCTATACAAGATGAAATGGCAATACAAATATTAAGGAATCCACAGATATAGGTGACTCAAAACTATATTTTCGAAATATTAGAGAAAATGTATAGCAATTTATAGTGTTTAAGAAGAAATTAAGTCATATAGTTGTATTAATAAAATAAAAACTAACAATAATAAATAAATAAAATATCCGATATTTATACTTACCAACTAATGATGTACACATTGCGTAAGTAGAGAACATGCTAAAATCAACTTCGTTCCAATTGAATCGATATCGTGTGAATAAGTACATCACAGACATCTCACCTGAAAATTAATGTGTTTATTAAGAACTGATTTTAAAGAAGACTATTAGATTTTATTATCCAGAACACGAAAGTAATTTCGTGTTGGTTCCTGTAGTATACGACACTCTTTACAAATACTGGTTTGTTTTTCTATTATTGACTTAAGATTGTGACATTCCCTTTCTAACTACTATTGTCTGTAATAATACCAATGTATCGTTATTTTTAATTGAATTAATTGATACAAACCAATATTTTCCTATGGTCTATATCGTTTTGTATTAGTTCCACATTAATTTTATCCCGAAAAATTTAGATTTCTTTTGACTTATTAAAATCTTAGCTATATACTAAGATTATGTACAAACCTAATGCCATTTAATTTATTGGAGTAGATACGTAATATAATTTCAGTTTAAAAAATTCTGAATATTTGGAATTATATAAACTTATACTTGGAATCGTATGTTTGCAATAAGAACCTAAATTTTTTTCGTATCACTATCCTCATAATCTAATTCGTTCTGCTATACCATACATACGTACCTACTTCAGAATGTGTACATAGTCCAATCACTATATATCTACTTACCATAGTTATTGTTTGCAACAATTTTCAGAATGAAAATAGTATTTTTTTACAAGACCATAAACGAAAAAATATGTACAAGAAACGTGTGTTTTTGTATATATTATTTACAAAACACTTTTCGTAGCTACATAAGTAGCTACTAACTAATCCTGAACGAAGTTCATCGACGCTGAACAAGCGTGACAAGTTCTATAGAAAGTGAAACCTTGTTAGAGAAAGCAATTCCATAAGACCATAAATGACATAACTGCAACTGAGTATAGCGACTCGATGCAAGGCCGCAATGCGCCAGTACGAAAATAACTATAGAGCTAGCTACCGTTCATTGCGTGTTAATTTAAGTGGAACATACTGGAAATCGGTACAATAATAAACTTTGACAATCAATGAACTATGCATTTACAATCATTTTTATACAAACCTTCCGTTAACCTATTAAAACTCACTTCATACAGAGTAGTAAATGAAGTAATCAGTCACTTTTATTGACGTCTATTTTATTATAAATAAATAGGGTGCAAACGTCTGACGTGTAGATAAATAAAATTTAAAATTCACCCTTAATATATTTACTAATCTTATTACTATATACTATACACTACAGAAATTTTTCAATGGGAAAATTTAATTGTATTTGTACCTTGTTTTAATGTAATAATGTTTTATTTTATGTTAATCGACTATACATATATATAATATAAAAATTTTGTTATGTACTTTATGAAATATTTATTAATGTGATTGCTGTGCCCTTCCAGGGTTCATGTTGATTCTTTACCTTTAATAACTTAAGACCTATATTGTTGAAACATGAAATAGCAATAGATGATTGAATTGAATAGAATTGAATACTATTATAAACGTGAAAGATTATGAGAATGAAGACATGTTTCTTAAACTTTCACGTAAAACTACTGAATGGATTAGAATGAATTTTAGAATAAAAATAGCTTAATATTGTAATTGTTGAGTAAGTTTCATCGTTTTTCAATCGTCACGAAATTTGATATACGCGTATTATTTAAAATGTACCTACAAGAACATAGGCTACTTTTTAACTTGGTCAATCAATATATCCGATCACGCAGACAGAGTCAAGGATAAAAACTAGTCAAAACTAATATTATAAAGAAGAAAAATTCGACTTTTTGTTTCTAATGGATAAACTCAAAAAATACTTAACCAATTTCAAAAATCCTTTATCTATAGAAAACCACATTATCTGCGAGTAACTATAGGATATATTTCATTTTATTAAAAAAAATCGTGCAAAGCCAGAGCATGTCATTAGTAGTAAATGTACAGAATGTGATTATAATTCAAGCAGTAAAGAACATACCGTAAATAGGTCCAATAACGACACATAGTACGACTACCAGCATAATGACTCGCAATCTTCTGTTATTCGGGCCTTGTTTGAAAGCTACCATCAGTGTCTCCTTCACATACCGTACATCAAAGAATACCTTCAGCCATTGGCAGCAACTGGTTGTTTTCTGAAAATGAATGTATACAATATAAAAACGAACACATTCAAATACGGGTAAATATTATGTCGAATTACTTATAAATAATGAGCAATTGGACAAAAAATCCGGTAGTTTTTTTTTTATTTTTTTATATTGACGTATTTTTATTATTATATAAAACAAGTATGGCCGTTACATTAACAAAACTCAGTAGTGTAGCGATTTAGCACACTCGTTGCCTTCTAATGATTGTAAGTTTGATACTCCTATATGTGTACCGGTCTAAGAGGCGATGATAAAAGATATATATAATTATATAAATTTATAAAATAAAATTAAGCTGGTATTAGTAATGTAGTAGGTATTTAGATTATTTTCATATATTTTATCCTACCTAGCACCCACAGTTAAGACAAATGTAATTCATCACTGTCCGTCAAGCTCAATAGACTACGCATTGCGATATCCGTGGAATACATAATATGCATAGTAATGTATAACCCGGAAAACATTACCTTTTAGTCGGGAAAAAATAATCTGCCCAGACGAGTCACACGAAATTAAACTCTAATCACAGAAGCAATCAATACCTTAAATAGTAGCTTATATCGTAACCAATAAGCACTAATTTTGAAGGCTCTCCCTTCATCCGACTGTGACACCAATTTGGGTCAAGTTGACGGACTTTTTATGCAGTCACGCTCGAATAACCTGATTTAGTCATTGAACTTGCCATCTGTTTCATAATTATAGCGCGGATAGTTTCCACGGCCGTTTCATTAGCGGTCTACTCAAAACAAACATATTTCTTGTACATTAAAAAAATGTATTTGAATAGCGTGAAGAGGATACTTTTTTCTGTAATTTATTTTAGGAAAGGTTTTTGTCTCGTTGTCAATTAGGCAGATTAGCGATTTACCTACAGTGTTATTCCAAATTATAATAACTACGCTCTACTATATTGTCCCTCATGGGCTCAGGACTGTGTTAATAATGTTTCAGTCTTAATTTTGCTACAAAGTTAGAAACTATCAGATTCAGACTTATATGTATATAGATAAAGGCTGATAACTAAACTGAGCTCAAATCGTCATAGTCGTAGAATACTGACGGATCTGACAAACATTAGATATACATATCCGTCAGTATTTTACGACTATGACGAAATGTGACATCGCTAAATAACCCTTCACGAACTAAAAACAGTACACAAATAATTCATCTTATCTAATTAAATAGTAAATACAAAAGGATATAACAGTTCAATAAGTTCGACGTATAGTTATATCTTAAATGTATATGAAAAAACACAATCTTCAACTATTAAAAAATCCGAGCTTTGCAAATGGGACGTTATTAACTCGGCTAATCTTTTATACTTTGATTTGCCTATTCCGTATGTGTCTGTAGCAATATTAAAGACTAAGCACCATTCATAGAACGTCGATAGTGTCGATGTATACAAACAAGAAAATCGTAAATTCTCAATTTATGAATATTATAACGCCGGAATACAAAATGTGTATTGTGTATTCCGGCGGTATACACATGTCAAGGAAACGGTATTAATGTATTCCAACATATTAATTATACGTGTACACATTGCAGATTTGCGATATCCTTGTCCAACTCAGCCCTACACGGCTGTCCCGTCCCGTCCGAACCTGGCACTATATAAATGGTGCTTATATATACACGAATCAATTTATCAAACACTATGTAAACTTATAATTACAAGTCTTCTTAAATGTAATTAGTATTTATTATATATAATAATAAACAATCTCTCCAAGTGAATCAAGAAGCTATATTCAATTCATCTCAGTATTAGACCATTAAAACATCATGGTGATAAATAGCTAGCGTGAGAGGGGGGGTGGAGAACGGATTGTTAGTAATGCGAACTACCAATCTCATTGCTAGCAATATACCTTGTCATCTGACAACGTAAACAACGTAACAATGAGACCACGTAGATGTCGATCTCGACATCTACGTGGTCTCCTTAGAAACTATCGTGCTGAATTCCAGGTATATTCATCATGGTGGGCTGATCTGCCTTTTCACCTTCATATACCGTAAGCGCAGACGAAAATACTATTCCATTATCATCCATTAAAAAAGTAGCTACACAGTTTTTTATCGCTTTAACAATAAACAATATTTAAAAAAAGTATTGTAATTATACAATTAATTAATATATCCAATCGATTCGCCATTGACAGCAACAATTATTGGTCAAGAATCATGACCTGTTACATAATACGCTTCGGTTTCAATAACGAAACTGAATAACAGTATGTGAGAGGCACATAGGTATCAATATTAAAGGTCACTAAGTATGAACCTAACCAATTTGTGCCTACTTGTAGTACAAAAGTAACCTTGGAGAATGGAAAGGGATTCATACAAACTATTTATAAAAAAGACAGCAACTGGTGTTGCTAGGACCTGTATATTATGTTAATATATAGATAGTAGGGGGAAGGGGGGTTGTTAGTAATGCGGACTACTATTCCAATTACTAACATTATACCCTATCAGGTCGACCTCCACGTGGTCCCCCTGGAAACCATTGTAAAAATTCTTGTTGAATTCGTCACGATGGGCTAAGTGACCTGCTTCATCCTCACCTATCGTCCTTCACTGGTGCCCCGCCAGCGTAAACTGTTAGCGCGGGTGGAGTTACCACTCCATTATCACCAATTAAAAAAAAAACAAATTCTTCACTGCAGAAACACAAATGGAACAGAACCAAGCAAACGAATTTTGTACAAAATCTCCCTCTGATAATTTAACACACACAAGCGGGTGCCTACAAGATTTTGCTTCACAACAAGCAATCTTTAGTTTCTGAAAAATCCATAATACAAGCTCCATTTAATTTGAAAATCAATGGCGCTGTATTTATTTTATTTATTCATTTAAAAGCTATTTCTATGTTTTAATCATGTTACTCTTATATCGACCGTATATAAAAGCTGACTTTAAAATCTATAAAACATGGAACGCGAAGGTTAGTACCGTAATGTTCTAGATTTGATGATCAAATGAATATCTAATAAAGTTCATGATGGCTTTTTCAAAGTTGACAAAAAAAAAGATAGTTTTAAATTATGAAATACCGATACTACTTATTTAAATATAAACTTCAGTAAAATGCAACATATTTTAAATGCATAATCGGGACTTAACTCGATGTAAATTGCACCATGACGTGGTCGTAACGTCGCCAATAAAGAAGCAGTTATGTATGTACTATTTACCTGTAAAAGCTTATAAATCGCTTTAAATCCCGATAATGTATTTAAAATATGTGTAAACAATGGGATAGTTTGAAATTAACTAATGTATAATATGTCAGTCTTCAATTCATTTCTTACAAAATTTCATTTAAATAATGAACTCTACGTTTACTAAGGTGCTCATTCCCATAGTGCTAGATATTTATCACAATTACAAAGTATGTAATATAGGATCAAAATATAATATAAGTATTTGAAAAGCAATTGAAAAGAACTAAAATGGAAAATTAAATATAAAAATTATTTAACATCTATTACGCCACGTAATAATAAACATATTTAGCACATTGCGTAAGAGATGCTATGTCCATGTCATTATTGACACAAAATACTAAAGTACTACTTTATATTTGTACATAGATTAACTTTACGTTTTATACCTACATATTAATTCATCCTCGCCTTTGTACTTTTGATTACCTCTGTCATATTCTTATAACTAGTGTGTACAATAACGAATTAAAAAAAAATAGTAAAAATTAATCTTAAATAAAATTAATCCTATTAAATCCGAATACTTTTCAATAATTAATGTGACATAAATTTGTAAATATAAACTTTATATATATAATATTTTTAATTTTAAGTTGAACAATGGTTAAAATATGTTATAATATTGATAAGACACAAAATTTTGCAAGCATTATTAAAAATAACTATTTCAATAATAATTGTTCCTAAAGATTTATTAACCAAATCAGTAGATCACAATCATTATATAGACATAAAATTATAACAGCAAAAGTACTACTAATAAATGTTTATTACAGTTTAATTTTATGCATTCGTGTTACGCAAAACTTTAATTCTTGCGTATTTACTCATATTATTAACTGACTGACCCGCGCCGACTTCGTACCAGTATAGTAATGAAAAAAATGAAACCAAATTTCTCTCACTCATCATGGAGATTTTTTAATCCCAATTGTTTACTGTTTTGTACAATATTGCAATCATTTTCTTTCATACAGACTTTATTCTGACAATTACAAACTCAACAAAAAAGAAATACGTAATTACGCACATAAGTACAGCCGTTTTCACAACAAGTTGTTTTTATTTATATAGATTTTATTACCATATATCTTTCCACTAAAACTCAAAACACAAAGCATAAAGCAATTTTTAACTGCAACGAGCACGATTGGTTTATGGTTTTTGCACTATAAATAGGTACATATACGCTAATAGGGCAACAGTAAATAATTGATAGGTGAGGATCAAAATAGATCAGTCAGCTGATCCATTACCAGAAATTAATTAATAAATTATTACCAAATTTCTTTAAATTTATCTGTGACAAAAATTTATATACTCTATACCAATCATGTTGTGATCATCTTCCATCATATTTACTAGCATTGAAATCACAGTGATTATATAAATGTACAAAACTGCGGTGTCGCAGAATTGCAACCGCAGTGAGCCCGGTTGCAGTTCTATCTTGCGATCTATGTTCTTAACCTTAGATTCGGCTTGACTAATTATATAAAAACTAATTATACTAAAAATTACAATTAGTAATTCTATTAAATGAATGGCACATTATTATAGTTTTGAATGACTAATATTCTTATTTATTGTATTCAATTACCTGTTTCAATTTTATTGACACAATTGAGTCGTTCATAATGGCTCTAACTATATAAATATTATATATTGTGTGTTAGAAAAGACTCACTCACCTTCTCAAGTAGCTGTCTATATAAATATTATAATATCTTCTATTTTGTTAAAACAACTGTAATGTTAACTGGAATGTCAACAAGAAGCTAAATATTAATTAATACATAATAGGATTATTCAACACATAGTGCCAAAGGTCATCAATGAATATATTTTATCATAATTAGATACAAAATGACAAACTCTCATCAAAGTTATTTTATCTCTTAATTAGGTGCAGGAATTGGACCGCAACTGTCATCTCGATCCAATAATTGCTATAAATATAGACAACCTGTTGTCCTTTCCAATGAAGCATATAATTGTATTCACAACAAGGCAGCTTAGCTAGTTAAATGCTCGCTGATATATATAAACAAGTAAACACATTAAAGTATTTAACTTTTACGCTTTCGAGTTTCAAATTAGGTTACTTTTCATATACGACAACGTTGGCAAACAAGCATACAACCTGGTTATTGTATTCTATAGACGCCTGCAACACTAGGGGAGTTAGGTGTGCGTTACCGACCCTGAAGAAATCTTAATTCATTTTTTTTGAAGTACCCCATACTGTAGTCTCTAGAGAAAATCTCGACAAAAAGCTTATTCCACAGCCTGAGTATTCGTGGCAAAAAACTTCTCTAAAACTGCACTGTACGTGACCATTGAGGTTCTACCGTCTGAGGATTAATTTCCCTGATGATGGCGAGCAGTGCGATGATAAAAGTTAGTTGGAAGAATCATTTTGGTCAATTCCTCAGAACACAATTCGTTATACAAGCAGTAGAATTTACTGAAAAAGTTGCAGCTTTACCCTGTTTTCAAGATGATCACAAAACTCGAAATGTCGGCACCTATGGTCTCAATACATTTAAAAATAGTAATGGATGCATTCTGGAATTACTGAGCTTTTTAACGGTTTATAAAGTGAATAAGATTATAAGTAAATAAGTAATTAGAAGTAAATAAGATTTTTTAACGGTGAACGTGCAAATTTGTACCTTAAACGGATTAAGTTTAGTCGTCCCCAATCGGAGACTAGCATGAGTATTCTCGATTTCAGACATAAGCTAATCGTTAGTCTCTACGATATAACGCGGGATATTCACACGGTCATATGATCCGCAAAACAATGCTTCTCAACTTTAACGAGGAAATTATTGATACATACATAGCATAAATAAAGTTATGGACAACATAGAATCTTGCGAGACGCTGATATTAATATCCATGCTATCGAAGCAACTACTGTCAACCAGGGTTTAAATGCATAAAAGCTAAACAGAAAGCTAGTGATCAATTTGTATTAACCCTCAGGAAACTATATGAGGGTAATATCGATAGAAGGTCATTATGCCAAACTCAATTGAATGGCTTTGCTAGTTAAATGATATCGGTGAAAACCCTATTGGTGCAATTCGTGCAATTTCTAACAAATTGTATACAGAAGAACAACTATGTTATATCAACCCGTACCCAATGATGGTATGTTAATAATTATATTACTAAGTCAATCATTCGATATACTTACGATGTCAGTTGATTTCTTGACTTCTTTGATTCTGTAATATCCATAGAAAAAACTTATAAGATACAAAGATGCACTTAAAGCAAAAACACCATATAAACCAATTTTTCTCACTAATATTCCACTAAGAGCTGCACCCACTGGTACTCCTAAAGAGTAAAATAGGTTGACTATTCCGATTCTTAACGTCCTTTGTTCTTCTGTAGTTACATCTGCGATATAACTGAATACTCCCATGAACATAGTAAACCAGCCACCTGTTAAAGCTGGAAATATTGCTTCTGTTACTGCTGCCACTTCTACTGGTAATTCATAAAAGAAATAAGTATTCACAATGAGACCAACACTCGTTAAAAATTCTCCAATAATTGGCAGGAGCATGCAAAATTTTCGTTGTCCCACTCTATCACTGTAGGCGCCAAGAAATATTAAAATTCCACAAGGCAGGAATGATTGTAATACTGTTTTCCATCCTGCCACTGAAGCTACTAGTTTTTGAACAGCTTCTTCTTCGAATGTGTAATTTTGAGTTTCTCTTCGAGTTAAAGCATCACATATATGGTGTTCATATGCCAAATTAACTCTACAGGCCTTCTCTAAGTACAAATTTTGCGTAGCTAATGCAGAAAGAACCGACGGCATCACATAGCATGCCAAAATTGGCTCTACTGTAATAAGAGACATCATTCGTTTAGTTTTTTGAACAAAATTTAGTTCTTCCCAATTATCTGTGTCGTCCTGTCCCAGTTTCTCATTTTGCACTTTCTCCATTTTGCTTTTTCTTATACTATTCCTAATTATATTATTTGTATTTAAGTTATTGCCTTTAGTAACATTAAGTGATTTTTCATCTCGTTTACCGTCGACAGCCATAATTGCATCACAAGAATCTGAAACAAATATTTCTTTTAATATAATCTGCAGGATTAGCTGAACTAATTTAGCCTAATAATGGAGCTTTTTAAAATTGATTGGTGAATATACTACTGCCGGACGTTGTAATCATATCATGATTGCCTACGTACTTAACGTAATCATCACTGGCTGTTAGATAAAATTAACTTTATCCCTACACAGTATTTTATCACACAGAAGCATAGTTGTTTTGAGCTAAGTCACGTAAAATATATTTTTTGCTTCTTATATTGTTATGTGTATTTACATGAGAATTTTATCTTTATATGTTTTAAAGGCATGTTTAATTTTTTTATGATTAATGTACATTGGTATGTCTACATAAACAACTGAGATAGAACACGAATGGTCTGTGTACTTGTGATTACCAATCTCACAATGAACTATACAGGTAACGATCCATTTCAGTGATTCAGGAAATTACATTTTATTTCATCAATTGATGAATTTGGATACGAATTAATGAATAATTGAATTTAGAAACTATTTATATCTTCTTTTGTTAATAAAATCTATTTAAGAGAAGCAGTTTTTTTTTTTTTTTATTAAAGACAACAAAACGCTGATTTACGATTTTATATTTACTTTGTCTTATACTATTGTTACAACAAATTCATCCAACCATTTGATTAGAAAATTATTAAGGAGGAAGTAAAGAATACTAACTACATACATTCATGCGGGTGAAAAACTTATCTCTTTTACAGTCAAGTACCAAAGACCTTGCAGAGACATTAGTTAGAATGAAGTATAAAAAATAGGTATAAATTATAGTAATTAATTATTGGTAGGTATGTCATTCCTACATATCCATTGTGTGACGTGACGACAGACGAGCTGAGGACGTCTGTACAACGGACAGACTACAAAAAGTTAATGCTTAACGCAGTGTCATTACGTTGACCTTGTACTATTGATTTCCGTGTTACAAATAAATAGAAGTGTTCAAAGGTTCCATCACAAAGAACTTGATTGCAACAAATCCTTTAATCTCCTAATAAATGAATATTAAGAATAGGTCTATAATCAGCCAACAAATAAATTATTTGACACTCAAATCCGTATTATAAATGATATTTCCTCGATCAGCTAAGAAATGCAGTAACATATTTAAAACAAATGTAATTAGTAATTTGTATGACTATCTTCCAGAAAAGTCTATCAACACATAATATATATTATGTGATCTACTTTTTGATTCTAAACGCAATACTTATTAATATTCCGACCAAGTTGTCAGACATATTTCAAATTTAATGGAAATATAAGTAAGACTATCTATAAGATAGTCTGTAGGTACAATGTCTAATTATATTTATAATCACAAACGTTGAAAAATCCTACTTTATGCCAAGATCCTCACTCGAACATCTTTCTTGCCCATGGCTGGCCGGTTCTATAAGATATGCGGCCGTCTTAACGTTATTACGGTCAGTATAGTTACTACATAGTTGTAAATATTAGAATAATACTTTAAACATAATACACCTCTTTATTAAAACCAATAAATAAGTTATTAATAGGACAGGAAATTAATAAGGTAAATAGAAAAAGTTTCAATGAGATATAGGATGCATGTTACCTTGACTCATTGGTCAAGGCACAATGACTTACCGTCAATCTGTGACCTTTCAATAATTATTGTATATATATACTTCAAAAACAATACCAACAGGTGAATTATTTAGCGAAATTGCTAACAATTTAATAATTGAAACTAACAGTGATGTAGCATTTGACAGTTTCAGCTATTAGCATTTTGTAATTGTAAAGTCTTTATTGTACATAATAATACATAATTCTATCCGTTAGATTTAATTCAGTACATACTGTAAGAAAAAGAATTATGGTGGAATGGTGAGCCAAAAATATACGAGTACCTTTCAAATCGATCACAGTCGGATCCTCTCTAACAACCATCATGGTTAAATCATAATGGTGTCTTTATAATAGGTCAACTAACCTGAATTTATTCTCAACTATCATCTCTCACTGATGTTTTGCTAGCATATACCAATATCACAAGCGGAGCTATCATTCTATTAATATAGTCTATAAAAAAATGAAATCACAAAATACAAAACAGTCATAACCTTATACGAAAAATAGTAAATTTGATGATAATAATAATTGCAAATAGATAGATAGATAGATAACATATGCTTGGCAGGCGGGTTAGCAACCGAAATTAGGCTTTGGAGATATTTAAGAGGGATGCTGCTGCCCATCCCTCGCCTTCTCTTAGTCGCCTGTTACGATACCCACGACATAGGAAGAATTAGTCCATTCTGTGCGGGGACCTACACGGCGACTAACACTAACATTTTGTTATTCTCGCAATAAACAATATCTATATTATATGTATGCATATGTATTATATTAACAAGTGATTAAAAATATTTAAAAATGTTTATATGATTACACACAAATAAAGTACATAATTAAATAAAAAAATATGCCAAACAAGGATGACAAATGCCTCAAGAATTAACCACAATGTTTTCTATAAGGGGCCGCGTGGATTTTAAACTGACAAGGCATATTACTAACAGTGGGGCTTGCTAATCCCCATTAGTAATAATCCTCTCTTCCCCAGATGATTCGTATTTCCAACTAAAATATACTAACACATTCCACACTCTGATGTCTGTTAGTATAGTCACAAGAGACAAAGAACAATTGTTTCCATAACAGTTTTATCAAACGTCTCGCTGTGTTTTGTGTTTACAGATTGCACTGCCCGGGCCCGTACAATTGTAAATATCCTGAAAATGAACGCGATATGAAGAAATAAAGGTGTGAAAAGTGTTTCTAAAATTCACAGGAATCGTTAATTTTTATTTCATTTTTGGACTTCCTTCTTATCAGTTATTGATCCCATAAAAATGACATAACACACTATAAATCTGTATTAAGAAAATTATATAAATACATATATATATATATATATATATATATATATATATATATATATATATATATATATATATATATATATACTGTCCACTGCTGAACATATGTCTCCCCCATAAGGGAGGCAGTAGTTGCCACGCTTGGCAAGCGGGTTGGGAATCGCAGTTAGGATTTAGTGATGTTTTAAGAAAGACACTGTCCTTGCCTCGACTATTAAGTTCCCTTAGTCGCCTCTTATGACACCCACGAGAAAAAAAGGGGCGGCTCATTCTATGCCGGGACTACACGGCGAATAAATAAATACATATCAATACATAAATAATAATGACACAGACAATATGCATCTATTAACAAAAAAAAAAATGATTGAATAATATTGATTATTTTTATAAAGTAAAAAATGTTGTCCTCCTCTCTTCTACTTATTGTGCCCAACAAAGTTCATAACTAGGCCTGTTTCAATATTTACCAACCTCATTTTCAAATCCAATTAGAAATAAATAATATTTTGGGCTTCCCCCATTACCTAATATGTCTGAAAAAGCAACTAAAAAAACTACAGCTGTTAATTTTTCCTTCTACGTTATTTACAAATGTTATTCAAGATGCTATTTATAAATTCACGAAAATCCCAAAGTTACAAAAAGTGGTTCGCACTAACAAGAATATCCATCGTATTAAACTGATTAATTTTATTTACTGTTTTGTTGTTATTTTTTTAGGTTCATAATAATCATAATTACAATCTATATATAAAGTTGATTGTCCTGACTGGTTTATGAACGCACAGCCTAAACCACAGAGGTAAAAATTTAAAATTTGGCAGTTGATACTTTTTATGAGGTAATCCACTAAGAAAGAATTTTTGGTAATTACACCTCTAAAGGGATAAAATAAGGGAAGAACGGTTATATGGGTTTCCAACCCGTCATTTTCAAAATTAGAATCATGAATTTATATATACAAGCATTTACAAATAAATAAGTTATTATTTAAAGGTTTTTGTAAATCTGTCCCTTGAGAGGGCGAAATAGGGGATGAAAACTTATATGAACAGTCCATCATTTTAAAGAAAGAAAAATGCAAAAAGTCTGCTTAAATTTTACTATTTGAATGTTTTGATTGAACTGATAAATTTATACTTCAAAGATTTATTTTTATTTTGAAAGAATAACACGTTTATTTGGACAAAATCGCCAAAGGAAATTTCATACATCAGGTGCAAATAATTAAATGTAAATATTAAATGTCTCAATAGCATCCCCGGAATAATGATAATAGAACTCTGTATAAATATATATATATAAGTGTGCAAAGAAAAATAAAAACACTGTAGTATACTTTTTTATAACCAGAATGTTATAAAAAATTTCATGCTTCTTATATATATATATATATATATATATATATATTATATATATATATATATATATTCGTTATATTTACGCGTGATATTGAGAAGTATTTACACATTAGCAACAGTATGTAATGTTATGTTATTGTAATATATATTCATCTTGAAGACATTAATATTTTTTTTGTATATTACACAAACATCAAAACTAATCTCGAGGAAATAAGTTTTAGGGATTGCAACCTTGGGCAAATATCGATCTATTGAATGAATAAGATCGATAAACATTTAGATTTATCCATAAGGAAATCGTTTAAATAGGATCAATCTCATGAAAATCAATCTTGATCTTTTCATGTGTATAATTATGACTAAAAATCGAAACTACACAAACAATGAGCAATTATAAAAAGGAATCCTAAACAATTATACAGTAGATGTCAATTTAGAAAAAAGAACCTTAATATACAAAACTTATAATACATAGATGAAATAGGATAGATCAATTAAAATCTATTAAATTTTTTACGGATGTTTAGGTTGATCTGTCTTGAAAAGACCAAAGAGCTGTCTATAAAAAAATCGAAGACCTTCTAAAAGATCAATTAATCGAAACAAAATCGAAAACTCTAGTAAGTTTCGGGTTAACTGTCAAAACAACAATTTAGTTGATGTATGTAAATAGTTAAAGACTGACCACAGATCGAT